CCCCGGAGTTTGGTGTCGTTATTTGGAACGACATTCTTTACGGTTCTCCTTTACTTTATTACTACAGGCCTGTCAGTTGCAAATTCAAGTAATCCAGTGGAGGCAGCTGAACTGGCTGCCCTTTCCATTGCAAGCCGTTTAGGTGACAACGATGGAAACTTTGTTATGGATCCGTCGGCAATTGAGATAACAGAGACACATGCGCGTCAACAATGTAGTCACTTTGGTAAGAATTTTAAACTAACAGAGTAAATCACCTCGCATGACAATGAAGAGCTAAAATAAAACTTTCGTGACAGTAAACTCAAACTGAACAAACAGCTAACGCCAACGAAAATAAATCAAGTCGGCACACCGTGAACTTAGCTTATAGTGTCCATTGTTGAAAGCACTGAAAAGAACAGTGTGCGACAACAACTGGACTTGTGATTCGAGAACGTCTTGAGAATTGTAATGACGAAACAAAGCGATACAGTGATAGCGAAACCCGGTTTTAACTCTTTCTCCACTGTTTCTCCTTCTAGGTAATCTTTTCAAAGAGCTTCATTTGCATCAGACTTTCCAGAAAGGTCAGGTGTGTGTGGCTGGAAAGAACACTAGTCTTCATATGAACGCACCTAACACTGCTCAACGGTAGGTTGACGTCGTTTGATAAGGTCACCCATCCAAACATGCGCACGGTTAAACCGGCGGGCTCTGTTAAACTCAGCTAAACTCAATATTTGTCTCGTATTTTTCAGATTTTTATCGTTTTAACCGTTTGATTCAGTGACTGGTGGTGTTTGTTTGTGGCTTTTAGAATGACATGTTTGAGAAAACAATGTGAGAGGAGAGATCTTGGCATCAGTAGACTCAGCTTCCCTTTACTTCATTTCTGAAATGAACAACCGGTTGGACATGAAAAAAGTATACGATATAATACGAAAGACAATCCTTGTCAAATCAGCAGTTTTTTACTTGATCGGTGTTCGGAACTGATTTGATGAGTAGACTCGTAAACCAATCACAGAGTTTCCTGGTTTGATTATTCATTATCACAGTCACAGCTCATGCAATGGTAAACATTGCTTTCACAGCGCTTTTCCCAAACTTTCACGAGTGTTCCTATTAGACAATTAGACTATGAGCCCGAGTTTTCAACGTGCAGATAATCAACGAGGCGCGGCCGAGTGGGCTCCGAGTCTTTCAGGACAACATTTCAAACCCTTTTTTCGGTGCTGTTGTAAGAAAATCAGTGACACATTTTGACGTCATCTGTGATATATTACTGAACAGACGCACAGCAACATGAAATCTATTTGTAAAATAGAAATACGTTTTTGAGCCAATCAGCGGTGTATTTTCTTTGGGCTATGTACTAAATAATTTTAGAAAAGTCGTTTTGGAATTGTCGTCAAAATTGTAACTATTAAAGATGGTCGGCAAAATTTATCTTGCCAAACGTATTATTTTCCAAACAACTTCCCTTACTAGTTTATGTAAAGTTGCTCAGCCTCGAGCTAATTAATACGATTTATACGATCTTATTCCTTCCAGTTCCACGCTCAATCAATGGCCGATTCGTGTTATCTCTGTTATCGTCGTGAATACTCAAGAAACTGATACATCAGTTTGTTGACAATCTTGAGCGTACATCATGTTACTCGGCAGCAACTCCCCTGCCCTACCCCCTTCCAAGTGGTATTTAACTAACGGTTTTGATGTTTTTAGCTCCCTTCAGGTGGGACTGTGTGCTCCTTCGCAACAGAGTATAACTGCAGGACCAAGTTCAAATGAACGAGCAGTTTCTGAGCCACAAAAGAACCAGTCAATCGACGTGAAGAAATAGAAGATTAGATAACCTGAACAACTGCATAAATTCGATAGGTCAAAATTTGCTAGATTTCTGCTCATCAAAAGCGACATGATTGACTTAGAATGGGTTTTTCTGCGCGTATGTTTTTAATGTGTTTTAATACACTGCTTTGTGTAGGTTAGAGAAATGCAGAATAAGTTTAATTTTACAAATTACAATTACATTCAATGTGAAAATGTCTGGGATATTTTAGTGAGGACAAATTCTTCAATGTACTACCTTGATCACAGCTTATCGTAATTATGGCACTGGAATACTGAAAAGAGCCGTTTTAAGTTCTAAATTTTTCTTGTATTTTTCGTGAGTTTCTGATTTTACTCGATCTAGTAGGCTGTCAATCTAGGTCATAGAATATACTAGGTTTCAAAATAACTCTTTTTATTGCAACTGTTTCATTAGACGTGAGAATTGTCCTCTCTTGACATTCAGATGACCTGCACCTCTTTAAAACTTTTATTTTGATTCGTTCTTGTCAATCTGAACCTCTTTTGTTTTTAGGGCTAGGGGCATTGTTTGTGTTGTATACCTATTGTTTCGTTTGGCCAATCATGAAGACCCTTGTAAACGGGGCAGGTTGGCCCTTGACATTGTCGAACAGTGGCATTTTTACAATAACTGAAGAAATTCTCGCGCGCTCATTGGCTAATTTTCACTGTCAACATGCAGACATGCACATGAATTTATAATTTATGCGTTGCGTCAACGAGCGAGAGCGGACAATTTGACAATTTGTTATCGTAAAAAACAAACTGACGTCAGTTTTTCATGCGTCTGTCCTATTATTGACAATGAATTGCGTCATAACATTGTTAAAATCGTCTGCGGCTACTTTGACAATGTTATGACGAAATTCATGATAAATGACAGGAGAGACGCATGAAAAACTGACGTCAATTTGTTAAACATATATCTCATTAACCACTATCACGGACTGGAAAAAAGCGCACAATTCTGATCAGGGACCGATCAGGTGAATACTCACGTCTGATGTTAAACAATCCAGTCGGGAAGGAGAGCTGGAAGAAAAAGGAAAGGTACCTTTTATGTTTAAAGCAAGTTCTTTCGGAGATGTAGGCCATAAAACAACAAAAAAATCTTCCAAGAGTTATCGTGCGGGATCATTCGGGACTCAAACCACGACGATGACGGCAACGAGAACGTCAAGAAACAAAAGGTTTAATGAACAAAACAATAGCTGTGCACGTGCGTTATAGATGTTTGTACATTTCTGTACTGTCCTCTGCAAAACAACAACGTGAAATGACCAAATTCTGCGTCGTTTACGGAACAAGGACGACGACCGCTAATTTTTCGTATTCGATTTCGAATTGAACGCCGTCGTTGCATATTTAGCTTAAGTACGTTTTTAGAGCCATTGGCGTACCGAACAGATTTAGACAATTGCGAAATTCGCTTGTAAAATATAAATTCATTTTTTACCAGGCGTGGTCTTCGGCGTCGTCGTCATCGTTGCTGAAGCTCCCTAATGCCTGGTCCAATACTGAGAGAATATTGGACCGGCAATGGAGCAATCTGATTGGTTGATTTTAGTTATTGAACTAACTTAGTCGTGTAATATGCATGTACATGAGCCTTTTAAGTTAGTTAAGATAGTTGCATATTACACGACTAAGTTACGCTACTTAAAAGTAGCGTAGGTACAATCACGAGTGGGATATTCACCGTATGTCACGAGAGAACACAGGAGAACTATTTGATCCTATGCCCGGCATTGCGCATGGCAGGAACTAATCGGACAACTTCCAGTAAGGTACAACTTCGACTGAATTGATTGCTAAAGTAAATGGCATAAATTGCCCAGGTCTGCTGGTGGTAACTTAGCCAAGCAAAGCTGTTTTCTTAGCCGTTTAAGGGTTTTCTACAAACGTTTCAGTTTTTTCAACACAAAAACGCGAATTCGAGAGGAATATGTAATTTTGGTTCATCAATCACGTTGTTTTCTCACTCGCCAAAACTGAACTGAGTTTTCCGGTTTAAAACTAGTTGGCGATTGGAAGCGAATGACATAGTTTTGAAATTGACAAACGTTCCAAAAAACGAACATACTCGCGAATAGCTCCAGAAGAAACACATCCGTTAGAGTAGCCTCAAGTGTTGCTGGCGTTTGTTGAATGAACCCTAATGCCGACCTTAAAGAACTCGGGAAAGAACACTCGATTAATTAATTATTATAAACGGAAACCAAACCGGTAAGTCTGGATTGCATTAGTTTTCTTTACCCTGATATTCTTTATTTGGGTTTAATATATTAGGATTAGCATTTCATTGGCAAAGATTACAATTTAATTCAATACGCATCGTAACTATATTTACGCAACGTCTGTATAGCTGACATCGGTTTGACAGAGTGAAATAAACCTCGCGAAAACAAGGTGCCTGGTCCCATCTGGCCCCAATTTTGGTGTTGCTACCATTTTTTCCCTCTCGCATTTTTGCGTTTTGCTTAACCAACTGAGAGTAAGTTGGGTTTGTTTCTGGTCTAATTCTAAACACCAACGTGTACGCTGGGTATACAATCACCAGTTTTAATCGTGTTTTTCACAGCCGTCGAAGTAGTTCTCACGGATTTTCATACAACGCTGCGCCTATTTCAGCTGAAATTGCTTAAACTGCATGTGATGGAAAAATCAATTATGTAAATCTACTATACATCCTAATTTAGCACGTGCTAATATAACTGTTCTTCTAAGATTTAACTGAATGTCCAGACTGTACATGGCGTTATTCTTTTTCTCGACAAATACTTGAGCTGGAACAAGGGTCTTTTCCGCGGGGTCTTTTCATTTCTTTACTCCAACGTCAGCAACAGACTGGTTCTCTGGTGTCGATATTGGTTATCACCCATGGCAACGCCAAAACATGGCGCGACTATCGATCCCCACACCCTAGGGCCTGTCGGAAACCACCTCATCCTCATAACAGATTCGTTTTTTTTTTCATCTGATAGCATTCCGTATTTTTTCTTTTTTATAATTGACAAAAGGCCAAAGGGCGCCGTAAACAGATCAACCAAACTTTTGGTTCTTGGAGATCTGCGGCGTCTTTAAATGTTGTGGAACAAAGAGCTGTCAGGTGACTGTTCGGCCAGCGCCATCTTGAACTGCAGTTGTTTAAGCCATTTGGCCAAGGCCGACTTGGTGTTTTTGTTGATCTTTTTCCGAGACTGTGCTTTGCGCAAACGCGCATGCGCAGCATCTGAAAGCTAAAACAAGACGACAAAGTTGAACGTTTAAGAAAATACACCCCTATCTATCCGAGAATTAGCGTGAATGAACTGTGTGGTCCAAGTGTTGTGTAAGTATTGGTAATCGTATGAATGCAAGTGCAATTAAGGATTTACACTACGAGTAATATCTGAAAATTCTCTCAAAGTAAACGCCCGTGCAATTTGAAGGAATTTTCAAATATCACGAGTAGTGTAAATCCTTAATTGCTCGAGCTTTCATAGGATTACCCATTTATTATATGACTGAGAAAATCACGAAAGAGCGCGCGTTCATTTGCACTGCAGTGCAAATTAAAATTAACGATAAATCGGCCTGCTCTCAGCCAATCACAATGAAGCAATTTTCTCAGTTATATAATAAACCAGGTAATCTTTGGTATGGAATTACTCAAAACCAAACGCTATAACTTCACTCACCCTCTGTGAGAAGCAGTAAGTCAGAATGGGATACCACATCGGATACAGCTGTTTGAAGAGAATAGAAAAAACTCTCCTGAAACGTTGACTGTTTAAAGAACTAAAAGTAATTGTTTCACAATGGACAACAAAAACACGATTTTGAAACAGGACTGTCACGTCTTCAATTAAGCCGGAATTTTATAAGATTGCTCGCGTAGTAAGCATCCTTCGGACTTAAGGTCCATGGATTAGCGCAGTGTTGGTTGTGTGCAGCGTTTGCTGTGGCTAAACAGTCCAAGATTGCTCGCGTATTCCAAGGAATTTCAGGTGAAACAGTTGCTAGTCGCCATACCAAAAGTGCAGGCAAAGTCAATTCTCGGGGAGGCCTTTTGGACCAAAATAAGATACTGTTCCCGCCTAAACGGTCATAAATGACACGTATTTCTTTAATTAGTCATTCACGTGCCCAGTGCGTGCTCACCTTGGGTAGAGGAGTGGAATTGCACTCCTGAAGAGCTTCCAGCAAGTTCAAGAAATGATGACTCACATTCTGTGTTAACTGTTAGGAGAACGAAACATAAATCACTCCAAATAAACAAATTTCCTGAGCGAAGAGTCCACCTGGCGCAGCTGTTTTCATGAACAACTTAAGGTCTCACGCTGACTGGCTATTGATATATGTTTATTTTGTAACTTGTTTTAAACCCAGGGACATAGTTATCGCCTGGTGTGATCATCCGAGGAAAAGTACAGAACCGTTGTTGGCGAATGAGGTCTCGACAGCCTTAGCGGTCAGTCTTCCTTGACTCTGAAGAAGACTTCGACCAACTCAACAAGATTTGTTCATCATACAGAGGAATCCCATTGACCAAGTTAAATGTCGAACATTAAATGTTAACGTTTCGAGACCGTTAGAGAACTTTGGCCGACTCTATGCTACATCCATACATTCAATTACATGCGTTGGATACCATGAATACATAACTTACATATATGGTTAAGCCTGCAGTAACGTTATACATACATATAGGGCTACGCATACAGTCACGCCATTACACAAACCATCAAAGGGATTCTACTGTACTTAGAACCTCCATATATCGGCATTGCACCGTTAAAATATCAAAAGTACAAATGAAGGTCCCTCAGCTTCTCACCTCCTTAGCTTGAGTCAGCAGGTGGAGTATGCCGGGTGTGACCTTGCCCCAGAACTCCATGACAATCGACGACGCATGCGTGGAAGATTCTCCAGGACTCTTGGTTTGATCACAGTACAGCGTCCACAGCTGTCACGTTAACAGTTTGTCAAACACAATCAAACAAAACGCATCAAACATTTTAAAAATACTAAGTGAGGCTTCAATCGTCTTCCACTGATCTGGCGATTTGGACAAGTGTCTAAAAATTGAGCCAAAAGTTGAAATAACGTCAAAAGTTGCTAACTAAATATGCTCCCGAAACGCCCGAAAAACGCAAAGCCTCGAAAAGCGTTTTTCTAGTTTTTGTCCACAAATATTTTTCTTTGCAACAAGCAAATAATGACAACCCCAATAAGAAACAGCTCGAAACGGCCGTTTCGACTCATTGTAGGAAAGTAAATCTCACTGTTAAATATTTCATATCGAGAGCTATATTCTTACCTCACAAACATTGAACGCGTGATAAAGGGCCGATTTACTCAAAGGCTCCTAAGAAAAAAGAAACAATGAACGTATTATCATGGTAATCCCATGATCTGATAGCCAGGAACCAAGGTTGCGCAACATATTTTTCCACTTTCTGATTGGGAATTTATGAACTGTCACAGGGACCTAGAAGAGTAACATTGCAAGGCGGCGTTTATCCTTGAGGGTTCAGCATAGGTTTGACGGGATGCGGGATGAGGGTAAAAATAGGGGCGGAACACGGGATAACAGAACCTTCAATGGCGGGATAGAGAAGAAATATACTTCGGCGGGAGCGGGATTTGCTCATTTTGACAGGCGGGATGCGGGATAAAAATAAGAAAATCACAGGTTGCAGGCGTTACGCGGAGAACTACGACTCTAACCAGGCGGTGATGAACATTGTGAGTGGGGCGGGATTGCGGGATTGAGGCAAAAAGAGTGGCGGGATGCGGGATTGAAAAAGCCTATATTGGACCCTCATCCATCTGAGTTTAACTTGATGGGACGCTGGTCCATCGGAGGTTACACCCTTTCGTTTTGTAAGGTTTACGTCACAATTCATCAGTAACAATTGAGACTCCTCGTGGATCATGAAACTAAGAGCAAGGTTTCTTGTCCAAGAATCGCTCAAGAACAGTACACAGCAACCGCGGCAAGCAGTGAACCGGACTATTAGAACACAAAACAAATCTCTAACTATAGACTGTATCACTCCTCTGCAATCTGACGAAAAGATCCTAAAATTCATTAAAGACTTCAAAGATAAGGTTTTAAAACAGACCTTGAGCTGTTCTGCAAAGCTGAAGAGAATTATAAGCACGTAGTCTGCAATATGCGTGTTCTCCTCAAACTTGACCGGGTGACAGTTTACATGAGGATTCTGACAATGTACGAAGTGTGACAGTGACCCGTGAAGTAACCACGCCAGCAAACGCATGTGTGTCACGCAATCCAACAGTTCTTGACGCCTGTTGTAGGAAACAATCAAATGTTTCAAGATGAAAGTTACTGAACCGAAAGTTAAAGCGTCTTAAACTTCGGTGATCTCAAAACTGTCAGTTTGTTGAATTCTATTTTCTGGTGTTGTTTAGTACCACGTAAGTTTCGAGCAAGTAAGTGACGTGATCCCAGCTGCAAAAGGGCCCGTTTGTAGAATCAAACGATCGCTCCTAGGGCGTACCAGCGGGGAAAATCTTAAACAACTTCTGATTGGGCAAAATGGGCGGGAATTCAAAGGAGTGATGTCAATGACTAGCATTTGAATGGCTTCCTCAATGGCGACTCAGCTGAATCTTAAGGTGTGCAATGTTAAATAATTATACAAAAAACACTCCCACGTTTCCTTGAACAAAATTGCAATGGAAATCCATCGTCAGACAAAGTTCTATCCCAATAAAATTTTATATTGAATCTCACATTTTACTCTTAACAGAGTCTGACCTATGTTCTAATGTTAGACTGTCATTTTGAGATCTCCAAAACTGAGTGGAGATCTGAAAGTGAAACTGTAGAATCGTTAGCGGACCTTAGCGACTTGTTTATTTTTTCCAATCTAGTTCTATAGAATTATTACTTCAGAAAAATAACTTCAGCGAATTGTCCGGCCCGGAATCGCGAAAATATCGGGCAGTTATCTCGAGAAAAACTGAATGTTACGCCTCCGCATTCCACTACCGAATAACCATGACAACCATAAGACGAAGGAGGGCCGTCTAGCAAGACTTTGATTGTGTACCGCGTGTTTGCCTTCAGCTCACACAGTTTTTCTAAAACAAAATCAAACCCGAAGTAGCCATCTTTCATTTCGCTGTCGCATTCATAAATCCCGTTCCTGGCTGCTAAAAGTTTCGTAGGTTCAGTCTGAGCAAAGATTTCCAGGCACACAGAATATTTCCCACTTTCGCAACCAAACATTCGAACGCCATAAAGAGAAATTGACGAATTCACTGAAAATGTCAAATATTCCGGGCAGGATCCTGAATACATAAACCACTTGCGGGTTTCGGGAAATAAGCGACAGTGTTTTAATGTGCCTGCTCTCGGTTTCTTTGAAAAACTAACATCAACGTCAGGCACAGAGGAAAAAAACGAAAACATGTTTATGACATCGTCTTTAGAGAGAAGGTTCGTTTGTGGAACAGTCTCGGCAAAATCTCTTCGTGACATGACTGGAAAGCGAATATGATTTACGAGTCGCGAGTATACGAACTTCCCTTCCTCGGGTTCCTGAAGTGACGAATTTCCGTCTTGCTTTCTACTCTGAAGAGCAATCCAGTGGTAAAATGCTCTGAACAGTTCTATTTCCCTAACTACAAGAGAGTCTCTTTGTAGAAACTTTAACATGAAATCTTCATCGAGATTGAAAAATCTGTCGGATTTAATAACTTCATTCGTTTGCAAATCCACGATATCCCAACACCGTTTCAGCAAAGCTTTGTCTTTAAGCAGCTCCGAGCACTGTAACACGACGAAAACATTGGAAGTATTCAAATTATCCTTCATGAATTGCAGACATTTCTCAACCAAGCTAGCAACAGAATACTTTGAGGCTAAAAGTACCAAATCTTGTAAACAATCCACGGTAAGTTCCAGTTCTTCGCTGTAAAGATAACGAAGGAAGACTTGGAAAATCTCCGGATCGCAGTCAGCGATGTGAACAGTCGTTTTTCGATTCCTCGAGTCTCCTGTTAACATGTTCAAGAATACCGGGCTACTTATAGCGAGGATGTAGCTGTGAGCCGGTACAACGACACATTTGTTGTCACTCGATGACTCTGGAAACGAAAATTCGACATCAGCAAGGAAAGAGTTGTTCCACATGCATTTGCTGCGCTCGGCTAATGACTTCGCTTTCCACGGTGTTTCGCGACACTTTGCTTCCCTTGAACACATTGTGTCAGCCGCAGTTCCAGAGAATTTTGATTCTTGATTTTAAGTAAAAGTTGTACTGCTGAAGCTAGGTTCAACTGCTTAAAGATGCGAGTACACTATATTTTTGTTTCATTTTCTATCGCTTTCAAGTCGTTACGTATACACATGGCAGAACTAAATAAAACACTATCGATTTCAACACGGAAAACAAAACGTTTTGCACATGGCGCTATTTTGTAGCCGCAGTTAACCAAGACGACACTGAAAAGCATAGCTTTGTTCACAATGGCTAAAACAAAAACAGGCAAGCAGTTTGGATACAAAACCAAGGTAGTATTCTTACATCTCTTTTAGGCCAGATACAATTATTTCGGTTTTCTAGTTTTTCCCAAGAACACTGACCGCCCAAACGGTATAAATCTACGTTGTTCGTTCGAAACTGAAACCCGGAATTAATATACGGAGATTATTTTGACATTTTGCCGAGTTAACTTGTTTCGACCCTCGTTTTCTGAAATTCCATGACTGTGACTGATAGTGAAGGAGGTTAATTAAAGTCCGAATGTCAATACTAGCGGTTGTCAGAACCCTATACATAACCAAGCAGTGGGCAATATAGCATTCATGAACCATCAAAGTCTTACAACAAACANCTTTACCCTGATATTCTTTATTTGGGTTTAATATATTAGGATTAGCATTTCATTGGCAAAGATTACAATTTAATTCAATACGCATCGTAACTATATTTACGCAACGTCTGTATAGCTGACATCGGTTTGACAGAGTGAAATAAACCTCGCGAAAACAAGGTGCCTGGTCCCATCTGGCCCCAATTTTGGTGTTGCTACCATTTTTTCCCTCTCGCATTTTTGCGTTTTGCTTAACCAACTGAGAGTAAGTTGGGTTTGTTTCTGGTCTAATTCTAAACACCAACGTGTACGCTGGGTATACAATCACCAGTTTTAATCGTGTTTTTCACAGCCGTCGAAGTAGTTCTCACGGATTTTCATACAACGCTGCGCCTATTTCAGCTGAAATTGCTTAAACTGCATGTGATGGAAAAATCAATTATGTAAATCTACTATACATCCTAATTTAGCACGTGCTAATATAACTGTTCTTCTAAGATTTAACTGAATGTCCAGACTGTACATGGCGTTATTCTTTTTCTCGACAAATACTTGAGCTGGAACAAGGGTCTTTTCCGCGGGGTCTTTTCATTTCTTTACTCCAACGTCAGCAACAGACTGGTTCTCTGGTGTCGATATTGGTTATCACCCATGGCAACGCCAAAACATGGCGCGACTATCGATCCCCACACCCTAGGGCCTGTCGGAAACCACCTCATCCTCATAACAGATTCGTTTTTTTTTTCATCTGATAGCATTCCGTATTTTTTCTTTTTTATAATTGACAAAAGGCCAAAGGGCGCCGTAAACAGATCAACCAAACTTTTGGTTCTTGGAGATCTGCGGCGTCTTTAAATGTTGTGGAACAAAGAGCTGTCAGGTGACTGTTCGGCCAGCGCCATCTTGAACTGCAGTTGTTTAAGCCATTTGGCCAAGGCCGACTTGGTGTTTTTGTTGATCTTTTTCCGAGACTGTGCTTTGCGCAAACGCGCATGCGCAGCATCTGAAAGCTAAAACAAGACGACAAAGTTGAACGTTTAAGAAAATACACCCCTATCTATCCGAGAATTAGCGTGAATGAACTGTGTGGTCCAAGTGTTGTGTAAGTATTGGTAATCGTATGAATGCAAGTGCAATTAAGGATTTACACTACGAGTAATATCTGAAAATTCTCTCAAAGTAAACGCCCGTGCAATTTGAAGGAATTTTCAAATATCACGAGTAGTGTAAATCCTTAATTGCTCGAGCTTTCATAGGATTACCCATTTATTATATGACTGAGAAAATCACGAAAGAGCGCGCGTTCATTTGCACTGCAGTGCAAATTAAAATTAACGATAAATCGGCCTGCTCTCAGCCAATCACAATGAAGCAATTTTCTCAGTTATATAATAAACCAGGTAATCTTTGGTATGGAATTACTCAAAACCAAACGCTATAACTTCACTCACCCTCTGTGAGAAGCAGTAAGTCAGAATGGGATACCACATCGGATACAGCTGTTTGAAGAGAATAGAAAAAACTCTCCTGAAACGTTGACTGTTTAAAGAACTAAAAGTAATTGTTTCACAATGGACAACAAAAACACGATTTTGAAACAGGACTGTCACGTCTTCAATTAAGCCGGAATTTTATAAGATTGCTCGCGTAGTAAGCATCCTTCGGACTTAAGGTCCATGGATTAGCGCAGTGTTGGTTGTGTGCAGCGTTTGCTGTGGCTAAACAGTCCAAGATTGCTCGCGTATTCCAAGGAATTTCAGGTGAAACAGTTGCTAGTCGCCATACCAAAAGTGCAGGCAAAGTCAATTCTCGGGGAGGCCTTTTGGACCAAAATAAGATACTGTTCCCGCCTAAACGGTCATAAATGACACGTATTTCTTTAATTAGTCATTCACGTGCCCAGTGCGTGCTCACCTTGGGTAGAGGAGTGGAATTGCACTCCTGAAGAGCTTCCAGCAAGTTCAAGAAATGATGACTCACATTCTGTGTTAACTGTTAGGAGAACGAAACATAAATCACTCCAAATAAACAAATTTCCTGAGCGAAGAGTCCACCTGGCGCAGCTGTTTTCATGAACAACTTAAGGTCTCACGCTGACTGGCTATTGATATATGTTTATTTTGTAACTTGTTTTAAACCCAGGGACATAGTTATCGCCTGGTGTGATCATCCGAGGAAAAGTACAGAACCGTTGTTGGCGAATGAGGTCTCGACAGCCTTAGCGGTCAGTCTTCCTTGACTCTGAAGAAGACTTCGACCAACTCAACAAGATTTGTTCATCATACAGAGGAATCCCATTGACCAAGTTAAATGTCGAACATTAAATGTTAACGTTTCGAGACCGTTAGAGAACTTTGGCCGACTCTAAGCTACATCCATACATTCAATTACATGCGTTGGATACCATGAATACATAACTTACATATATGGTTAAGCCTGCAGTAACGTTATACATACATATAGGGCTACGCATACAGTCACGCCATTACACAAACCATCAAAGGGATTCTACTGTACTTAGAACCTCCATATATCGGCATTGCACCGTTAAAATATCAAAAGTACAAATGAAGGTCCCTCAGCTTCTCACCTCCTTAGCTTGAGTCAGCAGGTGGAGTATGCCGGGTGTGACCTTGCCCCAGAACTCCATGACAATCGACGACGCATGCGTGGAAGATTCTCCAGGACTCTTGGTTTGATCACAGTACAGCGTCCACAGCTGTCACGTTAACAGTTTGTCAAACACAATCAAACAAAACGCATCAAACATTTTAAAAATACTAAGTGAGGCTTCAATCGTCTTCCACTGATCTGGCGATTTGGACAAGTGTCTAAAAATTGAGCCAAAAGTTGAAATAACGTCAAAAGTTGCTAACTAAATATGCTCCCGAAACGCCCGAAAAACGCAAAGCCTCGAAAAGCGTTTTTCTAGTTTTTGTCCACAAATATTTTTCTTTGCAACAAGCAAATAATGACAACCCCAATAAGAAACAGCTCGAAACGGCCGTTTCGACTCATTGTAGGAAAGTAAATCTCACTGTTAAATATTTCATATCGAGAGCTATATTCTTACCTCACAAACATTGAACGCGTGATAAAGGGCCGATTTACTCAAAGGCTCCTAAGAAAAAAGAAACAATGAACGTATTATCATGGTAATCCCATGATCTGATAGCCAGGAACCAAGGTTGCGCAACATATTTTTCCACTTTCTGATTGGGAATTTATGAACTGTCACAGGGACCTAGAAGAGTAACATTGCAAGGCGGCGTTTATCCTTGAGGGTTCAGCATAGGTTTGACGGGATGCGGGATGAGGGTAAAAATAGGGGCGGAACACGGGATAACAGAACCTTCAATGGCGGGATAGAGAAGAAATATACTTCGGCGGGAGCGGGATTTGCTCATTTTGACAGGCGGGATGCGGGATAAAAATAAGAAAATCACAGGTTGCAGGCGTTACGCGGAGAACTACGACTCTAACCAGGCGGTGATGAACATTGTGAGTGGGGCGGGATTGCGGGATTGAGGCAAAAAGGGTGGCGGGATGCGGGATTGAAAAAGCCTATATTGGACCCTCATCCATCTGAGTTTAACTTGATGGGACGCTGGTCCATCGGAGGTTACACCCTTTCGTTTTGTAAGGTTTACGTCACAATTCATCAGTAACAATTGAGACTCCTCGTGGATCATGAAACTAAGAGCAAGGTTTCTTGTCCAAGAATCGCTCAAGAACAGTACACAGCAACCGCGGCAAGCAGTGAACCGGACTATTAGAACACAAAACAAATCTCTAACTATAGACTGTATCACTCCTCTGCAATCTGACGAAAAGATCCTAAAATTCATTAAAGACTTCAAAGATAAGGTTTTAAAACAGACCTTGAGCTGTTCTGCAAAGCTGAAGAGAATTATAAGCACGTAGTCTGCAATATGCGTGTTCTCCTCAAACTTGACCGGGTGACAGTTTACATGAGGATTCTGACAATGTACGAAGTGTGACAGTGACCCGTGAAGTAACCACGCCAGCAAACGCATGTGTGTCACGCAATCCAACAGTTCTTGACGCCTGTTGTAGGAAACAATCAAATGTTTCAAGATGAAAGTTACTGAACCGAAAGTTAAAGCGTCTTAAACTTCGGTGATCTCAAAACTGTCAGTTTGTTGAATTCTATTTTCTGGTGTTGTTTAGTACCACGTAAGTTTCGAGCAAGTAAGTGACGTGATCCCAGCTGCAAAAGGGCCCGTTTGTAGAATCAAACGATCGCTCCTAGGGCGTACCAGCGGGGAAAATCTTAAACAACTTCTGATTGGGCAAAATGGGCGGGAATTCAAAGGAGTGATGTCAATGACTAGCATTTGAATGGCTTCCTCAATGGCGACTCAGCTGAATCTTAAGGTGTGCAATGTTAAATAATTATACAAAAAACACTCCCACGTTTCCTTGAACAAAATTGCAATGGAAATCCATCGTCAGACAAAGTTCTATCCCAATAAAATTTTATATTGAATCTCACATTTTACTCTTAACAGAGTCTGACCTATGTTCTAATGTTAGACTGTCATTTTGAGATCTCCAAAACTGAGTGGAGATCTGAAAGTGAAACTGTAGAATCGTTAGCGGACCTTAGCGACTTGTTTATTTTTTCCAATCTAGTTCTATAGAATTATTACTTCAGAAAAATAACTTCAGCGAATTGTCCGGCCCGGAATCGCGAAAATATCGGGCAGTTATCTCGAGAAAAACTGAATGTTACGCCTCCGCATTCCACTACCGAATAACCATGACAACCATAAGACGAAGGAGGGCCGTCTAGCAAGACTTTGATTGTGTACCGCGTGTTTGCCTTCAGCTCACACAGTTTTTCTAAAACAAAATCAAACCCGAAGTAGCCATCTTTCATTTCGCTGTCGCATTCATAAATCCCGTTCCTGGCTGCTAAAAGTTTCGTAGGTTCAGTCTGAGCAAAGATTTCCAGGCACACAGAATATTTCCCACTTTCGCAACCAAACATTCGAACGCCATAAAGAGAAATTGACGAATTCACTGAAAATGTCAAATATTCCGGGCAGGATCCTGAATACATAAACCACTTGCGGGTTTCGGGAAATAAGCGACAGTGTTTTAATGTGCCTGCTCTCGGTTTCTTTGAAAAACTAACATCAACGTCAGGCACAGAGGAAAAAAACGAAAACATGTTTATGACATCGTCTTTAGAGAGAAGGTTCGTTTGTGGAACAGTCTCGGCAAAATCTCTTCGTGACATGACTGGAAAGCGAATATGATTTACGAGTCGCGAGTATACGAACTTCCCTTCCTCGGGTTCCTGAAGTGACGAATTTCCGTCTTGCTTTCTACTCTGAAGAGCAATCCAGTGGTAAAATGCTCTGAACAGTTCTATTTCCCTAACTACAAGAGAGTCTCTTTGTAGAAACTTTAACATGAAATCTTCATCGAGATTGAAAAATCTGTCGGATTTAATAACTTCATTCGTTTGCAAATCCACGATATCCCAACACCGTTTCAGCAAAGCTTTGTCTTTAAGCAGCTCCGAGCACTGTAACACGACGAAAACATTGGAAGTATTCAAATTATCCTTCATGAATTGCAGACATTTCTCAACCAAGCTAGCAACAGAATACTTTGAGGCTAAAAGTACCAAATCTTGTAAACAATCCACGGTAAGTTCCAGTTCTTCGCTGTAAAGATAACGAAGGAAGACTTGGAAAATCTCCGGATCGCAGTCAGCGATGTGAACAGTCGTTTTTCGATTCCTCGAGTCTCCTGTTAACATGTTCAAGAATACCGGGCTACTTATAGCGAGGATGTAGCTGTGAGCCGGTACAACGACACATTTGTTGTCACTCGATGACTCTGGAAACGAAAATTCGACATCAGCAAGGAAAGAGTTGTTCCACATGCATTTGCTGCGCTCGGCTAATGACTTCGCTTTCCACGGTGTTTCGCGACACTTTGCTTCCCTTGAACACATTGTGTCAGCCGCAGTTCCAGAGAATTTTGATTCTTGATTTTAAGTAAAAGTTGTACTGCTGAAGCTAGGTTCAACTGCTTAAAGATGCGAGTACACTATATTTTTGTTTCATTTTCTATCGCTTTCAAGTCGTTACGTATACACATGGCAGAACTAAATAAAACACTATCGATTTCAACACGGAAAACAAAACGTTTTGCACATGGCGCTATTTTGTAGCCGCAGTTAACCAAGACGACACTGAAAAGCATAGCTTTGTTCACAATGGCTAAAACAAAAACAGGCAAGCAGTTTGGATACAAAACCAAGGTAGTATTCTTACATCTCTTTTAGGCCAGATACAATTATTTCGGTTTTCTAGTTTTTCCCAAGAACACTGACCGCCCAAACGGTATAAATCTACGTTGTTCGTTCGAAACTGAAACCCGGAATTAATATACGGAGATTATTTTGACATTTTGCCGAGTTAACTTGTTTCGACCCTCGTTTTCTGAAATTCCATGACTGTGACTGATAGTGAAGGAGGTTAATTAAAGTCCGAATGTCAATACTAGCGGTTGTCAGAACCCTATACATAACCAAGCAGTGGGCAATATAGCATTCATGAACCATCAAAGTCTTACAACAAACATCATCACCAGAAATAAACTATCAAACGATTACGTGACATCTTGCGTGACTTTGGGACACCTCATTCCAAGGACACGTTATAAAAACTTATTGTCTAATGGGAGGGGACGGACAGTGATCACTCACCCTAGCTGGGTGGCTGTGGGAGGACTCTTGAGCCATGCCAAGGCCTTGTTGTGTATTTTACTGTCCTCGGAGTGCTTGGTGAGCTCCAGAGCCACCAGCTGGGACACACTTGCTTTAAGGTCGATTGGCAAAGTCGTTTGATGGAGGTTTGGCTCACTCAACTGACGGTTTTCCTGTTGAAGGACATCAGAATTCAGTGCTATTGTGGTGGCAGTGTAAAGTCTGCATACGAGCCTAAGTGGCCCATCAGACCTCAGGCCGGTGCTTATTCCGGTTTCTGTAACAAGAAGCGACTAGGAGTATTTCTGCTCCTGCCTGGATGGAATGCTAGTCCATCGCAGGGTTAGCCCCAGCAGTAAGGTCACCAGTGCCTATTTATATACCTGGGTGAAGAGAGACACTGTGAGGGTGAAGTGTCTTGTCCAAGAACACAACGCAATGTCCCTGGCTAGGGCTCGAACGCGGACCGCTCGATCCGGAGACGAGCGCACTAACCATGAGGCCACCGGTGATGGGAAGTTATGGGATATTACGTTCAAAACCAAACACAAACCAATCAGAGACATGGATTTCTGTAGTGCTACGTCATTAGTATGAAATTTTTCGAGTCCAGTGTTACGCGTTTCTCGAACTGGGGAAAGATTGCGCATGCGTAGAAAGACGTTGCTTTTACCCGGGACAGAAGGTCACAAACATATTTTTTCATATTGCTAGTGCATTAAAGCCGCCAAAAAACGCCCAGTTTCATCAGAAACAACTGGCTGAAGAACTATCACAAACTTGCACGTACTTTGCTTGATCTAGCGGTGAAATTCCAGTCCTTAATAAACTCCACCGCCTCCACGATGTACTGACGAATGCAATCAAGGGCTCGAGTGCGTGACTAAAACAAGCAAAATGTAACGTCAGTGGATGGGGTGACAGAGGGAACGCATTCTGTGCAAAGGAATATGAGGCAATTCTCACCCCAAACGGCAGATCGTAAGGAGCTTTGTCTGATTCACTGCCAAAACTGATCCTGCTTCCTGCATCGACAGCCACAAACTGAAAAAAGAGAAAAAGGAGAACTTGAAGGTATTATAATTAAAGAACAGATGCCATTACATGGCAAATAAGGCGCTTTTACGCTGACTGTCGTAACATAAGCCAATTACAAATCTTGACGGAAAACAAGTGACGTGTCCTGAGCAAGCGCGGAAAAACAAGTAACCAGTGGCAAGCCCGGAAAAAAGTGAAACCAGTAGCAAGCGCGCGAAAACATGAAACCAGCTGGCAAGCGCGCGAAAACATGTAACCAGTGCGAAGCGCGGGAAATCATGTATACTAACCAGTGGCAAGCGCGGGAAAACATACAACCAGTGCCAAGCGGGGAAAAGCAAGTAACCAGCGGCAAGTGCGGAAAAGCGTGTAACCAGTGGCAGGCGCGCGGAAAGTTGCTTGAGACAAACAATGATTGGTTCTTGACTGAATGAGAAAACAACGCCTTTGCCCTCATCGGTTAGGACTATGCAAATGCAGAACAAGAAACGAAGACAACACATTATTCACTTTGGATATAAATAGAAAAGCGCTCTAAAGCGCGGTTATGTACCTGTAGTACAGACTGGAGATTTGTGTCAGGGATTGAAGACCGAAATTTGACAGCATGCACGAGCTCCAGCACAACCGCACGAGTCAAAAACAGCTTGTTACGTTCCTGCAAAATTTAAAAAGACAGAGAGATATGGAGGGAGTTTAACCTACCTAAGACAGACTCACAATCACTCCACACCTCCTGAAGAATGGTAATTGGTCTCCATACATCAAACGAACAATTCACGAAACACAATAGGCCATTTCCGGGTTACCTTGAACCTCTGTGTCAAAACGAGTGTTCGTGCGAAACCATTCACACGGAAATGTGTTCCGCCTATAAGTTAATTTTCGAAACAGAGGCACAAGGTAACGCGGAAATGACCAGTCCATCTGATGCTGCCATTCATTGGCCTGCTTATTGTGTTGTTAGCGTTGCTCAAATAGTGACATTACATACACAGCATATCATTTCACAAATCACCAAACCTTTGGAAAAGTCTCAGTGCACTTGATACACAGCTCCAACAAATCTTGAAGCCGAAATGAACATTTGTTGATGGCGTAACTGATCACTTGAGCAAACGATGGCAATAACATCTGAAACAAAACAAAATGAATCAGCCCTTCAAGATGAATGACCAGGAAGTTAAAATTCGATTAGAGAATTTCAGTAACCAAGAAGGCGACGCCAAAGACAACGAGGATTCAAAACATCACTCACTCACTCACTCACTCACTCACTCACTCACTCACTCACTCACTCACTCACTCACTCACTCACTCACTCACTCATGCCCTTTACGCCTAAGTGGCATGTAGGGCAGCAATATGTTCCCTCCACATCTGTCGGTCCCTTGCCATAAACTTGATGCCTTCCCATGAGTACCTACGAATCTCGCGGTACTCTAAAGTCATTTACTTTGTTTATCACTGTCAAAACTATCAAGAAACTGAATCTGGAAAACAGCGATAAATTTGAAATAGGTCGTGGTTCACGTTCTCTGGACAACGCAGAATTTGGTCGTTTCACGTTGTTGTTTTGCGGAGGACGGCAAAGAAATGTACTAAGAGTTATAACGCACGTGCACAGCCATTGTTCTGCTCATTAAACCTTTTGTTTGGCGACGTTCCCGTTGCCGTTGTGGTTTTCTTAAGCTCCCTAGTTGAGACCAAATTTCACAGTCAATTTATCCGGACATTTTCCTTTCATATTTCTCTCACCTTGAAGGAAGAATTCGCAGCATTGAGTATGGCAGACATAATGCGAAATGTGGGTGTTAAATCGCACTGTGAAAGAAAACAAGAAATGAAAATGGAACTTTGCTCAACTGACAACAAGTCTATCTTATCAGATAAACACGGCATCCTCTTTGTCCCAAATATTGTGACACCATCAAAATAAATCACTTTATTTAAGTGTCACATGTGGTATTTAGTGATTGCAAATAGAACTGAAAACTTGTTTTAACAAGTTTCCAACTGGTTGAAGCCGAACCACTTGGCTATTTACAAGACCTGGTTGAGCTGAATTCACGACCACCAAACAAAAATCCATCTAGCAGCAGGGAGCAGGATTTGAACTATTTTTAGTATGAACATGAAACTGACATAAAAAACAAAAAAAGTTCGATAAGGAAACACAGCTCCAGAATAAAGACCTATAAAGGTTTGATTTTGAAGAAATGTTCTTGACAAATGACAGGAACCCTGAACAAAAGCGGCAGCCTCAGTCTCTCCTTTTCAAGGACATATATTATCTATACGAAATGAAGTCATGTTACTGGTTTCTGCATCAAGCCAACATTTTGCAATGCAGTAATGATTCTTTTCATGTAGTGTTAACTTACATTTTCTGGCAAAACTGAAGGCAGCTTCCTAAAGAATGCTTCAAAATGAGACAGCTGACTCTCCCAAGCACTCGTGGGCTCACGCGAGGCGAACCGAAAGTACGTGTCCACGTTACTTAGCAACACCAACACGCGGTCACCGAGAGTCCTGGACCCAAGAACATCCTGAGACAGAAAGCAAATACTGAACGCAGCAGCTCAAAATATTAACTCTCCTTACTTATTGTGACCCATTTCTTTTAAAGGTAGTTCTGAGAACTTGGTGCTACATCAGGACATTGTTGTCCCTAGTTGATGATTTCCTTATTGTCGTCACATGTCTGTTGAACATTGTAGTGACATTGTAGTGAGAAATCAGATGCTGACCGCTCTTAAGAATTAAAAAGCCAAAAACAGATTTATCTTTATGGAAAACTTACGGAAAGCGTATTTAACTAAAACAATGTAAATGTTACAATTTCTTAGTTAAATATATAAAGAAAGAACTATTTCCGAGTCTAGATATACGTAATTAACAAACAAACAAATCTACCACTTGTCTTTAAAATGAATTGTACTTAGAGCGGTTTTCACTTGAGTACCGAAAGGAAATTACGGTTGCGGGTCTATGCTTAGCGATTGGTTAAATAAACTCGAACCACTTCCTCGACTAATCAGAAGTGAAAACAACACCAAATGTGACTCGCTCCCATGCATGTATCTGTTTCGAGTTTTGGTTGTCTGACTGGATTGTCTATGTCCTTTGTGACTGGTTACAAAAATCGAAGAGAAGTGTGTATAATCTTAGAGTACCTCTAATAAGTAAGCTATCGGGGACATCTGATCGAACGACGAGAAATCATTCAAAGAAGTGGCCAGAGCTTTTAAAAGAGTATCATCTACAAAGGAAAAATAGAACAAGGAAAACAGTGAATGGTGACATGTAAACAGCTCACAATTAATATTTTCACTGTATAACGTTACCTTGAAGTTATAGGAAAAGTAGTAGTGATTTACACTAAACAGCTAATGAAACCACCCCTGTCTGCCTTTCAACTTCGTCTACTAACTGACAAAAAGCAACAAGTAACGTGATTTTCATCTGTTACTGTTGGTTACCTTTCAAAGAGCTACGGAAGAGCTCGGAGAAGATACCATTAGGAGCAAGCTTGATCAGGACACATCTTAGAAACTGTTTAGATACCTCTCTTATTGAGCCAGGAATAAGCACATTACTGAAAACAAAGATAAAACAATAAATAAATGTTCAGTAGTAATCATAGTGTGATTTGTTCCTTACCTATTGGCCCGTGATGTTCCAAGCTACAGAACTTCACAATACAAGTTCATATAAAGTGTTGGTTTTCACAGAGACTTACCTTTTTTCTTCCCAAGCAAACAAAGGGCGTACACATTTCCTACAAAAGAATCGAGAACCTCAGATCAATCACAGAACTACACAGCGTACGATGTTGAGTATGATGCCGGCAAGGGGTTGAATCAATATCGGACAAATTTGTATCAAGCTTATAATCCCAAAGAAATTTCTTCCAAGTTAGACAGAATTCGACTACGATAAGAGTACAACAACACAGAACAAGAGAGGTATCGCATTCAAAGAATTTTGGGCGTAAAACAACGAGATGTTTCGGATACGGAGAACAATAACAACTGAAGCTTTGGCTTTCTCTGCTTTTTAATCCACATCCTCTAATGTGAAGATGCTGCTTATCTAGCAGACTGACAAAAACCTTCAAATTTACCTGCAATAATATATATTAAAATATTTTTTCATTACGGCTATAGTTACTATTAATGGAATTTGACGTCCATCATAACCTCTAAACGGAAATTTGCTTCAAGTACATTTAAGCAAGCTTAGCAAGGATGGGACAGATTCCACAAGTTTCTGAGCACTTACCTCGCAACGCACTCCAGCATTCGAAGTAGAAAGGGCATTGCCATGGAGGGGCTCTGATGTACAAACGTGGAAAGCACCACAATGCAGAGGTTAAGAGTCTCCTCGTCAAACTGTTCGAGCGAGGTCCCACACTCGGGGCATGAGTCGAGCTCCAGGTCCCCATCAAAAGGCTCCTTATCGGTGTTGCCGTCCAGCACCTTATCAAAAGACCGCGTTGAGGTTCCACGGAACAGTTTGGGTTTTGAGCCCCTTCGATGCTCGCCATTGCTGATCGATAGCGAGCCCTCCACGCTTCCTGGCCTACTGATGTCCATTTCGCGCGCGTCACGGCTGCTGGTTGAGTCTATGGAGACTACAGAGTTAAGGAAAAAGAAAGACGTTAATGGACTCTTTACCAGCCTCTTTGCTCCGAAGAAGGGCTGATGCTCGATACTTCAGCTTCAACAACTCGCTACAGCGGTTAACTTACCTGTTATTAACCTCATGTTGATAACTAGCTAAGTTTTTCACGTGCTCGCCGACACAGCCCAACTGCTACTTTAGAAACTAATACCTTTGTCTTTACCAACCTTCTCTCATTCGTAAAATCCGAGATGGAGACCAGCCGCCATCTTGGATTTAAATGACGCGGAGAGCCTACGTAAGGTAATGAGTACATATCTTGCAAATCTGCCATAAAATCTAAACCACTTTGTAAAAATTATATTTTTTTCTTATGTTTCATCAGTTATGATAAGTGGCCTTAAAAAGTCGATGATGTTTTAGATGTTCCAAGGCCCAAAAAGAGGAAAATCGCTTCCTTTCAATCACCAGGTAGAATTATGAACACATACCTTTGTAAATCTCTGTAAATCAACTGAGCCCACAGTTTGGATCAAAGCAGTAGCTAAGCAACGTGACGTATCATTATGACGTCAAGCTTTCGCCACTGCTTTTGTATTTAAGGCTGCTTACGCAATTTTCAGATTGGTGACAGGAATCGAAAACTCTTTGGCTGCTATCGGGAGGCACCAGTTTACAAACTTACATAATTATCGAATTGACATACAATTTACGTTTATCGTCAAGGAAATGTTATAATTATGTCGTTTAAATTTATATCATGATTGCAACAATTCATTTCATGCTATGTTTTTCTTATAATACAAGAAATGCTGTGCTTTTAATCTACCACTTTCTTCGACAAATACCAGACCACTGTTATTGAGAACCTAACTGTTTAAACTCTTTAGTTCACGATTTGGTTAATCTCTCCCGCAAATTCTTAAAGGTCAAATTAAATACACGTCTGCGGTAACATTAGACTTGTGTAAAACATTTTAATCCTTACCTTAGCTAATCGTCTATTGCTGAACTTGTATTGTATTATTTCCAGCAATGTTAACTTATTGTTCTAACGCGGAAGCTTAATGTTTTAACCCTTTTATGTTTCCTGTAAGGCTTCCTCGCCAGTCTTTAATATTATAATATTAGCTAGTTTATAATATTATTTTGTGTGGTAAAAAAACGATCACTGTTTCAAAGAGTGGTTTTCTAAAGCAATATTTCGGGGGCACACTAAAACTAAAGTAATCAGTGAACCAATCAAAGCGAGAGACACCCTCATACAACGAATGCCAAGCGCGGGAAAAAAATGCAACTGTGTTGAGCGCGAGATACATGTAAACGTCACAAGCGCTGGGAAACGTAACAAAGCAAAGTGACCATTCTTTTGCTTCTAATTAGTTCCTAATTGGTTAGTGGCACACCAGTGTTTGGACCAATCAGAGAGCTGAGCAAAAAACAGCACTATGAATTTCCAGAGCTTGAAAACCGCTCCAAATTAGTTAGGATTAATTCAATTTAAATTCATTTTACGATATTAAAATTTAATTTACGCGGTTGTTACTAACCAGTTAGCCGCGGCGGCCTCTTAAAGCGTAAAGAAAGGTTGAAAGACCTATGTTTACTCCCTGCACTGGAGACGCGCCACGAAAGAGGACGAGCTGAAACAACAGTGGAAAAACCATAAAAATGTTTAAACGTAAAGTAAGTCAATGATAACCACGGTGTATTTATGTTTAGCTTCGTGTAATCAGATTAATTAACGTTACCTGTTCTGAAAAAGTAACGACTTTGTCAAAAATTCTTTAACGTGAAAATTTTGATAAACATTAAATGCCTCTATGATTAAGTTTAGTGTCTAATTGTTGAAAGCCGTGAGCCGTGTTTCTCAATATTCAACCCTATATGTCTCACATTATATGTTTTGTCTTTTAAGTTAATCATTGTCTGTTTTTTAAGCAGCAAAGCTCAAAAACGAAGCTATGACACAGAACAATACAACTATTTGATTTCTTCACTGGAACAAATCAGTTACTTTACCTTATCGTTACCAGTTTCTCTCATACCTTTTCGTCCCTTATTGTCGGTCCCAGGCGCTCCCTCCGCACCAGTCCTTTCCACAGGCTTATCTTCTTCACGGCTAGTACTCGGGATCACTCGCCGCGCGCCACTTGGAAAGGCCGGCAGGTCCTGGATCGGAGTACTAGAGGGCAATAGTTGCTCTGAAGAACTAACAACCGCGACGTCAGTCAATGGAGTCTCGGAAACCTTTCTCGAGTTATCGATCGTCTCCGACTGCTTTTCGTCTTTTTCTTTCTCCTCTTCACTTTTTTCTAGAGTCCCTCCAGTGCTAAACGCCGATGGAGACGAGATTTGCCTTTCTGGAAGGCGCTTCTCTTTTTCTTCGTCACGTGATTTGTTGATAGTCCCGGATGTAGGAAGTGACAGCTGTCTGTCTGTGTTAGAACGACGATAGAGTGGGCTTCCTGGAGTTTCTAGTGAAAGATGAAAACAATGTAGTTTTTGTTTAACAGATATTCAAAAATCGTGATAAGCGACCTCTCCCCCTGCAAAATGATGATTGCAGCAGTTTAGTTCAGTGGTCAGCTGGAGAAATTCCTCGCGAGACTGGGCTAAAAAAAATTGGAGGAATTCTCAAATAATCGAAATGTGAACTTTTAACGAAAGACTACATGCTTAGTAAAGAAGAACAGTGGGAAAAGAAAGGGCGGAGTTTGGTTTCAAAGACTGGTGCACCACTGCGGTTTGTGTGAGGAACCGAGAAACATGGTGAGAGAGATTGCAAGACCCTAATGCATGATCCCATTTTGAAAGAAATTTACGAACGTTTTAATCGCCCGTACATCTTCAAGCGGCCGCCCTTGGCATACAATGCATACTGTACAGTTTCCACTCAAATAGCAGTTTTAAAATTGCCAGAGTGACAAGGTAGATTCTTTGACACACCAACCAACTCTCAGAACCAACATTTAAGGAAATGCCTGGAGTCCGGTAATGAGATTTCGTATTTTGACGTTGGCTCTGTTACCTGATCGAGTGGATGCATCTCCTGGGCCTGAAGTCAATGAGTCCCCAAATAGCGACGCCACACTGGCCCTCTTTGGTAGACCCTCTTTGGGCCTCTTGCAAATGTGATCCTGGGCCTCCAGCGTGTTAACAACAACGTGAATGAGGTTCTTTGTGTCTCGTTTATGAGCATCCGCGTGGAAAGGATACTGTAAAGAGAAGAATCGGTATATAAAAAACAAATCAATTACAATATTTAGAGAGGAAGCCCCATCAGCCTTAGCTGGTTTTCATGCAGGTCCTCTATCCTGGTTGAATTGGAATTTGGAGATGCTGGTTTTTGTGGAGGGAGGAAAACCGGAGAACCCGGAGAAAAACCCTCAGAGCAAGGCGAGAACCAACAACAAACTCAACCCACACATGGCACCAGGCAGGAATCGAACTCGGGCCACATTGCTGGGAGGCGAGCTCTCTGACCACTGCGCCAACCCTGCTCCCCTAAATTTAGGCTTATTGCAAGCACTCGTCTTGTGTATTGATTTCCTTGTAGTTAAAACATAACCAGCACGAGCTGAACCGCCAAGTAAGTATTGTGCCACACCCACGTCTCGTCTCAATCCCTTCCTTGCTGAAATGCGATATCGTCTCATAATCCCTGCCTGAGTTGAGGGGAAAACAGACTGCCAGTAGTCTATCTACAATTTGAGAAGTTCAAACATTGTTCACTAAGTGAACCTTCCTCGGAGTCAAGTGTGAAAGCAGGCCAGCGCTTTCTCTGGTTTTCACGGCATGAAGCGACTGTTAGTATTGCTATACCCCCTTCCCCAATGCATGCTAGTCCATGGAGGGTGACCCTCCCCTCCCCCAGCCAGCTTTTCATCAGGTTGCCCGAACATTTCGTCGGTAGTCATGTGACCTCATTGATGGAGAACGTCACTCTGACAGTAAGCTTCCTCACAGCACAATAACTCTGGTCAGCGGACCGCTCGTTCTGAGGTTTATGGTACTAAACATCCGCCCAACCCATCTCCCACGAAAAATCTAACGTTACACGTCAAAACATCCTTACATCCTAATAGAAAAAAACTACTCCATTCCCTAAGGCAACAACAACTTAGGAATAGCAATCGCAAGTGATGTGTTGCGTCTTTTCATCGAGGAAAATTCGCTCGTGATGTTGTTGTTGTGATGATGATGATGCATGAAACAAAAGTTTATTTTTCAGTTGGCGCTAAAACAAAGTACTAAAAAGGAGTTTGTTCCCAGAGACCCGCAATGTTCCATGATGCGTTGAAATATCGAAGGAGTGTTTGGGGAACATCGTGATCGGGTTTATTTAAATGCATTTGAAAGAAAACTCATTACCTTGTACAGTATTATGAGGCAGGCCATGAGCCAGGTCTGTCGCATATCCAGCGGTATTCTCACCAGCGAAAATTCCGGGATATGAGTTCGTTTCTGTGGCTTAGGAGCCGCGCAGAACAGCAGAAGCTGTAGAGTGAGGTTTAACAGCTCTCCTCCCCATTCTTGATTCTGATCCAGGACTTGCACGATTCCAGCCATGTACGCGTGAAAGACTGGGAACAACCTGGTAATGAAAATGTTGAGTGAATTCTGTTAGCTCGAGCATAAATCTTAATTTCCTTAGCATAACAAACACAGAGGACTTCTCAAATTATAGAACACGTTTTCGACAAGAAGGAAGAACCTAGAAGGAATACTTTTCGGGAACGCATGATCTACCTTCAATCGATTTTAATTGGATGTGATACGATTCTGAGAAACATTTGGTGAACACTCGCCAGGTTAATGGACAAAGTGAAGTCCACCGATATCCAACAATTAACCAGAAAACCGACTTTACATTAGTTCTCATGAAACAGGTCCCCTAAAATACTGTAGTATCACTTGGCCCTTTTTAATAAATCCTTGATATGAATTCATATATTGGAAAAGAAAACAAAGGACAATTGTACCTTAGTCTCCGAGGATTCCCAGTAAATTCGCCGACCTTGATATCATATCCCATGAGAACACCAAGGTAATGACTCATCTGTATGATCTCATAACTCTCTGTCTTGACAAAACTTGAATTCTGCACTCCTTTGTTGGCTCCAGGGTAACTCAGAAAGTCCATGACTAGGGTGACCAACTGATGAGTGGCTTCAGCCTCCAGACTGCCGCCCTCTTGCACACCAGCAAGCATCTGACTGAACGAGGAATCACTGGAGGACACCGAATGACGAGAGCTTTCATTGTCCTCCTCCTGGACAGTGGGAAGGTTAGACTGGATGCGGCCCCCCAGAAACATACGGTCTGAGATGTCGATAGAGCCAGTCTGGCTGACGAAACCTCCTGTACGACGCTGCCGACTGCCACTAGACGACCTCTTAGCTGAGAAGTACAAAAATAGCGAGATCAGACAGGACATCAGTACCGCTTTTCTTCAATATGATATAAACCCGAGTTCAAACACCTTCACTGTAAGGAACTGAATCGTAAGTTTGTCGCTGCCGTATCAATGAGGGAGCTTTAGCAAACCACGACAGAGACGCCAACGAAAACAAACAAACAAAAGGTTTAATGAGCAGAACAATGGTTCCGCACGTGCGTTTTGAATCTCACTACGTTTCGAAACCGTCATCTGCGAAAGAACAACGTGAAATGACCAAGTTGTACGTGTTTTGGAGAACGTGAACCGAAACTGGCTCATGTTTCATATCTTCCTTTGGAATTGAACGCCGTCACTGCATATGATAGGCGCACTGAACAGATCCAGACAACTGCGACGTTCGAAGGTAAAACATACATCCACTTTTTACAAAGCGTCGTCCTCGGCGTCGACGTCGTCATTGCTAAAGCTCCCTTTTTGCTTACTTCACGGTTTAGTTAAGCGGTGTCTTCCATTCTCTCGTATAAATAGCATTGTGAGAATTTTCCACGGAATATTGCCCGGTGTTTTTAAAGAACATTTTCCCGCAGAACCTAAAGTGGTGTTGTATTTTTCCTTTCCGAAACAAAGAAAAAAAAACAAAAAACAAAGGAATAAGATTATTTTGATGACGAAGAGTCCTCCATGAGGCAGTTAAGACTCCATCACGGTGTTAGAAACCTTCCACGGAGAGGAAACAACCCAGGGGCCCGTTTCTCGAAAGCCCCGGAAACTTTTCGGGCCCGAAAAGCTGTTTTTAGTTAATTTTAGTTAATCAGTATTTAAAGACATAGAGGTGTACACGCCTGAAACTTCTTGTATGAAGGGAACTCTGTTTGTATTAAGAATAGGTGGAAAAAACCGCTCTGTAATCATAAGGTTTGAGATTTTCCTACGACTTTTCGGGTGCGAAAACTTTTCGGGACCTTCGAGAAACGGGCCCCAGGACTGACTTCCACAAATTCAAGGAGTCGTACGCACTCTTGAAACGGATTCGCTAACATAATGAAATATACGTCAAAAAATGTCAGATCAGGCCATCAACGAAAGAGAATCTGAAATCATCACCCTGCCCAGCGAATTTCGTCACATTTGAAATTCTATAATCACAGAGGCGTTGAATACCTTCTGAGCTTGAAGACACCTGTCTGTTGTATGTGACTCTCTCGCCCGGAAAACGAAATGTATAACTGCAACGAAACGAAGAAGAGGTCCTGCGAAGCTGGGTACCCAGGCCACTCCGAGCCATAAGAGACCTTGTGATGGGCTGAGAACGAGGAGCGGGAGCTTCAAGGAAGAGAAATAATGCACCAAGGTTAAGAAATGACCTTTACGCGTTATTCACTCTGCTAATAAGGGAATTAAAACCCACCCTAAAACCCACCCTAAATGATAATGTAAGCAGCGAAAAGCTTTATCTTTGTTAGTTTGCATTGTTTATATGCAAATTTTTCTCAGCTTCTGTCATTTTAATTGTTAATTAGTTACTTATTTTAAATTGTAATTTNTTTATCACCGCAGTTTGCGTGTTATTTCTTGTCTAAAACAAATCATGTTTTCTAGCCACATAAATAACAACTGAGTGCGAGTCAGGCTTTCACGTCAGTCAACACTAAATATGATATTCTATTTATCGTAGTTCCATGGTGAGGTGTCCTGTGTGAGAAGTCTGAAGTGAGTCAAAAGACTGATAGTAAATATACATGAAATCATTCAACAGAAACCTGAAAAAAGTTCACGAGAGCCTTAAATACGTTTAATAAGGGTTTTTCTTTTCACAGCGAGGATAATCATTTCTTCAAAGAATGTAACTACAAAAAAAACAGTCCTGCTACAAACCTATTTTCCTCGCCGGGTCACTTCCGTTATCCACAGAAACCTCACTGGTGGGAGCAGAAGGCGTGGCTCCTGAACCGGAAGTACTGCGTCCCTTGGGACTTCCCAGTGACACAAAATCGGCGTTTTCTATCAGCAAATGCTTGAAGCGACTGATAAAGAACTTTCCACACAGAGGGGTATGGAGAGGAAGTATTCGGTGCAATATCCGACAAGTGTGGATCAACAGAAGACGGTCCCGGGGCACGGCGTCATATTGGTGCTCAATGCACTTGTAAAGGACCTTTAATGAGGACGCTCTGATGGTACCTAACATGGAGACGGCCCTTAGGTGCACTGGCGTGCAAACGTCTTCAACTGCTCCGACTAAATAAGTAAAACAGTGCGCCAATGCGGACATGGTTATATTGTTCGATTTAATGTGTTCTTTCTCTAGAAATCGCGCAATAATGGTGACTTTCTCCACAGCCGAGAACCTTTCCCGCCAATCGTCATCTGAAAAAGCGCTCTCGACTTCGTCGCAGAGTTTCTCAGCTCCATAGGGAAGACAGATGCAGTGGAGGAGAATCTGGACACACAGGTGTGACATCTCTGAGTGCTCAGCCTGGAGAAGCTGCCAAATGCTAAAAATGCAAAAAAAAAAACGTTGAAAAAAGGGTTAATAAAAAACAGCATCAGGAAAGACACGAGGATAGAGGATCACTTGTGAACAGTCTAGACGTAAGCGTTTTAACGTAAAAACAGCCTTTCCAGATACCACCAGCAGTATTTGACTGCAAACTTGCCGAGAGGCAAGTCTATTTACAAGGACTCTTTTACACAGATGATCATGTAATCACGTGAAAATTATACCATGTACATTTTCACAATGGCAGAATCTATTGCGTTCACATTGCGCTCACAAATTAATTTCTCTGTAGACATTTCCTGCTGTCTGCGTACACCAACATGGTTGTTTTGAAAACTGACTCCAAAAGCTTATATGAGGATGCAAAAGCGCTGATATAGTGAAGCAATTTTTCTGGGCGTTGAGAAGGAAAAAGGACAAAGAGGGAAATTAAAAAAAGGCATCAGATAATTTCCATTTGAGATGAACTAGCTTTCTAACAAATAATCCTTACTTGGGAATAAAGAAAATCTCTTGTAAATAGGCCAGGAAATCACCCTCAGCATCCATGGCGATCCGCAGATAATCACCGCGCAGGACCAACACCTTTAAGCACCATAAGATACATAACTGGACATTATGGTCCTCTTGGCGGGGGAGCTCCTACAGACGGAACAGAAAAGTAAGGCATACGAGGACACCTTTTAAAGAGAAAGAATGATAATCCGAGAATATTCACTGTGTCGAAATTCAGACAACAATTGGCAAAACTATTTACATTTTGGTAAGAACTTTACCATCATCTGACTAGAACATGTATGCATTCAAGATAGCTCTTAAATACGGTGTTAATAGCAATGAAGAGACGAAGCAAAAAGAAATACTTATGACAAAACGCAAAGTTCTCTGCTGGATTTGAGTCTTTTGTTGAGGGAAGGCGTTAAACGTTTGATGTAATATGCCTCTTTGTATAGAAGAAGATTCCAATTGCTGTCGCACCCTAATACTGTGGTGTTGTTTCTGACTAAAGATAGCCTTATATCAAGCATGCGATATGGATTGATACTCCTTCAGAAAGAAAATATCTACCGCAGATGAGTGTTTACCTTAAGAAAGCCAAGCAGCAGACGAAGCTGCGGGAAGTTATCACAAACCGCACTCCAGCTACTGCTACTCGTCCCACTCCTCCACGACCCAATGCTCGCTGACATACTGCGCATGGCCGCAAAGGAGATTACATTTTCGTTGAGTTCGGAAGGGGTATCGGCCTCACTTGGTACGTTCTCGGGTTCGGGATCATTATCACCATGGCAACTATCGGTGATGTCAGTTTCTTTGAACACCTCTTCGTCGATTGTTTCAACTTGGCTTTTGCTGGAAGCTGAAAATGGACGACGAAATATTGACGGAAAACTAAAATCAAAACTATATTTTGTCATTTCCAGCCAAAAAAAAAAAACTCGCGTTTGCAAGAATGGAAACTTTCGAACAACATACTGTTATTTTTTCCTCAACATACTGTTAGTATATCCTAGTTTTGCAACGCTTTTGAAATTGGTATACCATGGAATATCCTACGAGTCACTTTTATTTTCTCCGTATATACACGAGCCTTTAGGCGAGTGTGTACACCAAGAAAATGCAAGTGGCAAGTGAAATATTCCATGGTATAGCACGAGATAGCGTTGCATAACTATTTTATACAATGCCATAGAAATACAGTGATCAACAAAATTAATGTGACATACGCGCGGTGCACGATGGGAAGGTTGGGTGTAATACCGTCAAATATACAAGGGCTTTCCTGTATTCTGATTGGCTGTATTTTCTATGGCATAATATAAAACATGGCAAATAATTAGATAAAAGAGTCTAGATAAAAACGGTAAAACAGAGGTTTAGTCATCTATAAAGATAACTTACGTACTCAACAGATTTTTATTGCTCTGAATTAACCTACAGACTTACACAAACTCCTACTAGAAACTCCTTTACTGCTTGAGTTGTTTCTGAACAAGCTTCCAAACGCCACATTACTGAGGACCTCCTCTTCCGGTAATGGACCCCCCTCTGGAAAGACAGTCTCTAGTAACATGTGCGCCAGCTTAAACCATATGCTTGTCATATTACACATGTCACACACAGTGGAGTGGTCGCCATGGTCACCAGCCCAGGAGATATCCAGCATGCACTGTAGAAGCTTTTTAATGTCCTCTCTTTCGGCGCTGTTTGGCATGTGTTTTTCGCGAGTAAACTGAATATTCACCTGTTGATGACATAGGAGAATCTTTGTTTACAATATTTGCCTCACTAGCACAGTTTCTGATGGAGCTACAACAACATTAGTTCTGAAGATTTAAAGGGTACAGCACGATTACCTATCCCAAGTGTCCCAAGGAATGTGAGCCCGATGTATAAAATACTTTTTGTGCGACGCAGGTTTAAAAACTCAAAATTTTACAAAGAAGTACGAGTTCATTAGCGCTTTTGCCACACAGAAATTTTGCAGTTTTTTACACCCAAAGAGCCAAAAATTTAAGCAATTACTAAGTTTCACAAGCTTTTTAACTGTTTCTTGTCAATTCTTGTCTAGCGTGATGCCTTCTCTGCGTAAAGACGTATGTTAATGCATTCGCCTATAATGGGGAGCATGAATAATGACAACGCCGGGCGACGCCAAGGACAAAGGAATTCAAAAATAGAATGAAATGTCAGCACTCAATTCCGAAAAAAAATAAATAAATAAAATTGCCGTCGGTGTAGACATTCTCCAAACAACGTAAAGCTAAATTTTGGTCATTTCACGCTGTTTTGCAGAGGGGAACGAACAAAGAACGTACACGAAAAACGATCGGTCTACAGCAAAATTAAAACTGCTGCTAATTACCTGTTTTACCAGTAAATCAAGTTCCATTATAAAGCAAGACAGGTTTGAACTGAGTTCTCCCAGTTCTGACGGCACACCACTGACCGGTGTTGCCATGTGCGAGCCCTCAGTCTGGGTCAGCGGTGACTGCACGGTGAATAATGGGAAAGGAAACATGGTGGCCACACCCTCGGAGAACTCTGACGAGTTTTGAACAACTTTGATAAAAATATCGAGGAGCATTTCAAGTCTGATGATGATGTCAAGTTGCGAGAGAATCTGTCAGTAAAAAGGAAAAATATCTTTCAACATTCTTTGAACCTACACTATACTAGCATTTACAACTCTTGGTTTGATGCATTCTTCAGATAACTCAACGTCACGACCAAAGAACTTAACGCCATTTGAGAAAACGAGAACGCACGTTTCTGAACAATTCAAAAATCTCTCAAAACCACCGTACTTTCTGAAGAGTTCGTTCTTCTTCCCAAAGATATAATGAATTTTCCGAAGGTCATTCAAATGTTTCTGATCATTTTACTAGAACATTCCCGTAGAATGTCAGAGACTTCTCAACATTTCCCAGGAAGGTCCAAAGTTGTTTTCACAACATGCCAGTGCATCACTTGGATAATCTACTGAACCTGTCTTTAAAATACCATGACGAATTCTACGAAACTGCAGCTGAATAATGTCTATCTGGTCTTTTGATTGGCTTCATTCTTTGTAGCGAGAGATAAATAATGGAGAAAAATCTGTTTACCTGCAACCAAGTGAGTGCCTCGACCTGATGACGAGGCACAGCAGACTCGAGTGCTTTTCTTATGAAGCCCAGAGTGGTTTCTGGGGGCAGTTTGAGTGGCGTCAGCAAAGGATCAAAGATTTTCCTAGAGAAATTCAAAAGAAATGTTACGGTATATCGTAAATTGCCGATACAATTTCGGATTTGTCTGATAAGTGCTTGATATTCAAACTGTTTTGAAATTGGGGAAAAATATCTGAAATATGAAGCTCCATTTCATCCTGAAACAAACTTACGTCAACAAAACTTTAAACCTTCCCAAATCTTCTGGCGGGACATCTGCCTTGATCGCTTCCATCCATTGGGGCATGATAATCTCCCACACCTAAAAAGGTTCGGTGAACAAATTACAAATGAATTGTTCAAACACAATCAGAGTACATTCCAAGAAATCACACCACAAAAAAACACAGTTCTCACCTCAGAGGTGATAATACCATGCGGCACCACACAGCACAAGCGATGGAGCCCCTCCATGTGTTGGCGTTCTATACTTGACATGGCATCCCAGCATCCTCCAACCTTCACATAGTTGGGAGGGTTAGGAGACAGACATGCGCACAGCACATCTAGTTTGTTATCTCGGACCTGTGTCAGCCAGCGACACACGTATTGACTGGTAAGTCTCTTCAGCAACTCGCCTACATAGTCTCTTCTCAGGGTTGAGGCTGTCTCTATCCATGATAACACCATGGAAACCAACCGACCTAACCTCTCTGCTGATTCACATCTCGCTGGCTCATTGCAGACACCAACTAGAAGCCATACTCCAAATCTACTCAGCATACGGCGATTGTTTATGTCATTGTCTACGTCATCTCCCAATTCCTCGTCTTCTAGTTTCCCTTGGACCAGACTGGTAAAGAATCGTATTTAAAATATTTCAGAAAACGCAAGAAAAGGTGAATGAAAACAATATTGAACTCCCTACCGTAATTCAATTTATCCCATATTAACTTTAAATCCCTTCTGTTGCTTTACACAAAGGGGTTAATGTTTCTGCGCCATAAAGCCACTTACCCCATGGCTTCATTCCTAGTTTTCTGACAGGGCTGTGCTTCTCCTAACAGACGAATGACTGCCTCAGTAGGGTAGGCTTGGTCTGGGCCTTGCAGAGTCCAGGGATCTGGAAACAAGTTCTGTGTAACATGGTCATATCCCTCTCCAACACTGTGATATCGTACGTGACATTCCTGACACATTGTCAAGGGTCTAAGTCTGGAAAAAACAGGGAGAAGCTTAGAATTAATTTATATGTCCCTGTAGGCCAGTTTTTTATTCTTACAGTGCACTGTATTACTGGATTTGAATTTAGCTACCAATGGCTTAAAGTGATTCATATTTTTTTTGTCCATGGAAACAAGTTTTCAGTTTACAGTTCTGACTATAATTTGTAGATTAAGGACCTGTTTGTACCACCTCTTTGGGAGGGTACCTGTTTTAGAAAACAGGTTGCAGGGCTGTGCTCTGGGAGTCCCCAAGTACCATAGGTGACCAACTTTTACCTTTGGTTGACTGGAAAAACTTACTTTTTTCATATAAACTTAAGTGCTGGGAATCCAGGGTTTCGTGGTTAGGAACCTTTGGGCCACACATAATTTTTCTTAGACCACAGCCTTGGGTTGGGCACTTGCTACCTTCAGGTAGCTTCATGGGCCATTTCATTTGAATCACACTAGCAACTGCGCAATTTCTGTATTAACTACTTTTGGGTGGTTGTTCCAATTTACCTGTTCTCCTTGACACAACCATAAGAAAAGCACATGACGCTGCATGGTTTGCCCTGTCCTTTACATTCCTTTGTTTCACAAGTTGTACGCATCTTCCCCATTGGCTGAACAATGTTTACCAAAAGTTTTTCATCAGGAATGTCAGATGCAGCCAGCTCTGCACATTTCTGGCAGATAAACACTGGAGGTGACGATGCACACTGTGTTGCAGCATAAGAGGCTTCCAGGCAGATAGTTGTTGGTGTATTTTTTCTAGGCACTGCACACTCGAGGTTTTGACAGTTTGGAGGATGCCACGGTTCATACACAAACTGCCAGTCATCAGCACCCCCTTGAATGAAGAAAACAAATAGCTGTTATTGCAGTTCAGTCTGCAGTCAAATATTCCTTTGTTTTAAGAGGCGTGCAAACGAGGCTAAAGGGTCAATAAAATGCAGAGTTGACTCTTTTGCCTCGTTTGTGTGTCAAGCTGCTGATAACTTCGACAACAGCTATTGAACAGATTATGTTTTCTTGAGAACCTGATGACCAAGGGAACAACTGTGTTTTGTTAGTTGCATTAAACAACTGAATGTCATACTGCTATCAAGCCCACACTCTCCTTACAGGTAGACCCACTGCACACAATTTATAATAATCCCTTTTTAGCCTGCTATAAGGATACACCTATGCTTAGGGGATGCTTTATCTGGCTCAATAAAATGTACCTCTGGGGAAGAAAAACATTGGACTTCAACAGCTTGACAAATCACCTTTTTCAACTGGTATGGAAAATGCACTCTAGTCTTGAATTGGGTATGTTTCTTAGAAGAAGCTACTTTTTCATCACTGTCAATAAGACTGTCAATAAAAGCCCTTCATAACTCATGTTTAGGGCAACTGTGCCAGCCGCAACGGTCATATAAAATAGGGTATCAAATTTTTGGCCAGGTCATAAATAGGGTAGCAAAAATCACAGATTTTGGTCATAAAGAGGGTAAGGGTTTTAGGAAGTGGGCCACACACCTCCACACAACTTTTCTGGTAGTACCCCCCGCCCCCAGGGGATAAAAGAACACTTTCACTCACTTGTGTTCAGTTGCAACTGTTGGGCACAACATGAATTCAACAAATTTGTTTGAACAAACAAAGAAACTGGACCTCACTATTTGTTATGCTCATACAGGGGTTTCATTAATGTTTACAGCAGGAAGGCAACTGGTTTTCACAGGCAGGCAAAACTATATGAACTGAACTTCTAATATAAGAAAAATCTTCCTCTACATAGTTAAACAAAGCAGACAAAATCATCCTCACAACTGGTTAATTTGCCTGGTGCCCAGCCCTTAAAGAAACCTTTGCTGATAGAGCACAGGAAAACCAAACAAACCCAGCCCACCCAATTCAAATTTCTTAGGGTTATCATTTATCAGAGTGGGCCTTACCAACATCTTTGAGTGGATAATAGTGAAGTAAGATCTGCCCAGCGGAGTTGATGATTGGCTGCGGTCCATAAGCCAGCACAGCCAGTATGTCCAGACAGACATCACTTTTGTATCGCATCAATGTCTCAACAAACTGTGCATGCTGTTTACAGTCAGGACAGTACTGTAAGACTGACATGATAAGGGCGGGGCAGGTAAGAGATGCATAGGAGAGACCAGCCTCATCAGACTCTAATACACCTTCAATACATCAATAACAAAACAATTAATAGAAAATCTGTCAGCTCATTTAAGTGAGCATTACTTCCACCACCTTTTAAAAAATACCAGAAGGCACTTCTAAGCCTTGAAAATCAAAAGGTATTTATTTGACTTTTCTTAATGACCACTGTACTTCATTCAATAAAACGTACTGTAAAATTTTGATGATTCTTTCTTTTGCCTTCTTGCTAGTAGACTGCTGGCAGTCTGTTTTCGTCTCGAAATTTAGCAGGAATTATGAGGCAAGATGCTTTGACCAAAAGGGGAATTGGACAAGACATGGGCATGGTCTTCTCATCTCGACTCATTCTCTACTAGACCACACTGCCCTTTTGCATTTACGATGGCTAAACACTCATCTAAACGACTCTAAGAGAAACGAACAGTTGCCAGCATTTTATCTATTGTAGCTAGACAATAAATTAAGGAAAAAGAAATAAGACTCGCAATTTATTGGACGGTGATCTCTCACTACAGATCCCACTCAAATTTTGAAATATTGAAATGGCTAGGCAAGTCAAAAATCATATGTAGTCTGACCATGATTGAGTGGCAAATGAAAAATACATGTTTTATCTACTGATTATCTGTTGAATTATTATGTATCTAAAACTCTACATGTACATACAGCAGAACCCAGCCTTACAACCAACCCTATTAATGCGGCCACCTCGTCATTATGGCCACTTTAGTCTGGTCTGGATAAAATCCCAGTCAGTCATTTTAACAAGTAAAGAACAGCTTTCTGCCCAGATGTTTGTGGGCTCTTGGCATGGGTTTTATTATCGTTTTCAGCAGGTGGGCAACTGGTGTTCAGTCAGGCAGGCAAAATGTTTTGAACTGAACTTCTTTATCGAAAAACGTTCCTCTAGATGGTCAAACCAGGCAGGCAAAATCATTCTCACAGCCGGTCATTTCACCTGCTGCCCGGCCCTTAATGAAAGCGCTGCCTTGGTGACTGGATTAATGGGGTTCCACTATATACTTACCTAACAAAACAGGAAGAACGTAACCAGCCAGGAGTTTAATGATGTGGTTGTGGGTTTGTGAAGGCCAGATGGAAAGGGTCATTGCTAAACCCATTGGCATGGCATTGAGATCCTCCTTCTTCAAGAATGGAACCAGCGATGCCATGATGGACAGAACACTATCTGCAAATGCTGAAGAAAACAACTTGATCTGTTCAAAAAACCCTGAACCTTAGCAGTGTAATTATTTAGCTAAGTGCACAATTACTTTTAGGAGAAAACAAACAAAATGTTTAACTTAGTTGGTAGGTAAGTATACAGTATTAGTCAAACATGTATTGCATGAGTATGGCATTTCTACATCTATCACTAACTACTTATGAACCAAGAATGAGGTTTTTACAGGAAAATCTTAAACCAAGACCTTGCCGTAACAAGGTCAATATGGCGAGGCCAAGGTTTGAGATTTTCCCATAAAGAGCGAATGTTTGAGGTTAGTAAGTTGTTTATTTGGCTTTTTGCTCTGTTTCTGTAGGCCCATAATCAGTAGCGTTACGTAAGAGTAATGCCCCAGAATTAGCCAATCAGAGCATGTGTTTTATCGGCTACAAACACAAGCCATATAATAATAGCCATTAATTTTAGAGTGGCTTTCAGTATTCCAGGTGCAGATTCTTACCAGTTTCCAACACATTACAAAAATGGGTCAGATTTTTCAAAATGACTCAGAAATTCAGGAAAGGGAACTTCAAGGAGTTAAAATCCAAAACATTTCCTGAGAGAGCATGCCTCCAGAGCCCTCTAGAAGCTTGCACATTCACAACCCATTGTTTTAGAAATCTGTCACCTCTATCCTAGATCCACACCTGCATTTACAGTAACATCAAAGTGGAATGTACCTTCAACTCCAATCTCAACAACTGGTACAACATTGACAATTTTTCCCAGAGCTTTGTACAGTCCTGTGTAGTCCATGCTAGGATATTGATGCCGATCAAATGAACGTCTGTCTTCTGTTAGCACAGGGCGAGTCTCTTTCACCAAACTGAAAATTTAGTTACAGATTATTTTGAATGATCACATGATAGATTGGTGCCCATTCTAACCTATCACGAAATGCTTAAATAATCTAACGGTAGTATTTTGTGTGACTGTGTAAATAGTGCGTAGATAAAATGACTTCCCTTCAGGTCCAAGCTTTCTTGGCTCTGCTCCAGTGATAAAGGAGCAGTAAGAATAACAACAATAATGCAGAGATGCCAACCTAATTTTAAAGTTCTCCTGATTCAGCCGCAAACATATGTCAAATATCCCCCAGCATTTTAACCTCAAGTCAGCCAAAATAGGTGAAATAAGTACTTCACAATATACAAGCACTGTTACATCCTTCATATCTGGGAGATTTGCTGACCCATATGGGAGACCAGGAGATTGGGTCTGTATAAATTTGGTAGACTCCTGGATTATTCAGGAGAGTTGGTATACCGGTAGATCCTAATGGGGAGTTTCTTGTGTACCTTTGCAAAGTCTGTTGAAACCATTTGAGGTAGTTGGCAACATCATTCCCTGTTGGTAATGGATAAGTTCTTCTGTCCAGTCTGTTGAATATCTCCTTCAGTCCATGCACCTTGGCATTAACTGTTATGTACATGCAAGGTGTAAAATTGATAACAGGAAAATTATCATGAGCAAAATGCATATACTAAAACTGATCAAGCTACAGTGTATCTTGAATTGACAGAAATATCAAATTAACCCTTTAATTTTATTGTGCATTGCGGGGTGTATTTTTACAAGTTCTGATGTACAGTGTATTGGGATTGCTCATGTATATGGCGAGTAAATAACAAATGACTCTTGACCCTGAATTGGCCGCTCTGACTACTAAATTATGACTGTGTTATTGGCATACATATTTTTAAAAGCTCCTGAAAAAGGTACAATCTAGGAGATACACTCTACACATACGTTACAAGATATTATAACTAAACAAAATCTCCCTGTCAGTTCCTGGACAGAATCGATTGATTGTTTTTTTTTTTTTCCAGCAATGAGCATTTTCAGCAATAAGCAATGAGCGAATCATCTTAAATTTCGGTCTACTTCTTGTTTTGTAGTTTATTGCACTTACACTGGTCGGCTCGTGTTGACTTCAGATGCCTTGACATTTCTTCTTCTTCGCTTTCACGGGTCACAGTAGTCAGAAATGTTTCAAGCTTCAAAACAGCTGTCCGCTCCCCTCGATTACAGTGCGCGCCGCCATCGGCTATAGAATCATCACAACTGGTACTCACGTCCAACAGAGGAAAGCTCTGTACAATCTGTTTCACACCATTTCTCAGTACAGCAAGTTATCAGTAATTGTCGCCTCTCACTGAGACTTAAAAGACGGCAATCGTGGCGTGTCAAAACACCGAAGTCTGAACAGGAATTTACATATTTTCCTAAACAGGAGGCATGTTTATTTTCACATTTTTAAAATGACAGTCATGTAAAAGGAATCAAAGTGTCTCCTTGTAGTGTAAAACGAGATATGTTCTTACTTTTTATTGTTGGTCACAGCTACATAATTTTAAACCAATTTCTATCAGGTTGCATTTTTAAACGTTGCTGCTGGTGCTATTTTAACATTTGACTCCCTTTAAAAACACCTGTTTTAGATATGTATAAAAACATCCATTTGAGATGTAAGGGGCATTTCATACAACATACACAACCAAAACCGAGCAGAAAACTGGTAGCGAATATTTGGCGCGAAAAGTAAAGAAGGCGCATTTTTCAGCTTTCTTCAAAATATTTTGTATCAAAGGAACTTGTGGAATTCCCTGGATAAATTTATTCTCTGGCCATGACTGAGACATTGTTTTCTTTAGAAGTACACGTGGAAAGCGTGGAAGAACTGCGAGTGTCGTGCAAGCTCCCGGCGTTGTGCTTTCGTCTGCTGGATTTTCCTACAATGATAATTCACCATGTCTCTCCATTGGACGCCGAGAAAATGCGACAAAGACTTCGCATGGAAGGCAGAGAATCGTTACTTCACGAGCTCAAGGATCGCTTTGGGAATTTCCAGTTCCATAAAGGAAAATCCTGTCTGTTCAAAGCAAGCATAGATACCTTGTTAATTCAACTTCAGACGGTTCCTCTCTACGCCATGTTGATGGATTTGTGGCCAAAAAAAAACACTCTTGTAGGTAGCACATTGATTCCTTTGAAAAAGGCAATAGACAAAATTTCTGCAGATGTCCACGACAAAGGTGTTGCGGTCCCTGCTTTCTTCCGAGATGAGGGGGATTTCGCTGTATACAATCTCATGGGCTCACCCATAGCAAAAGTAAGATTAGGCTTCAGGTTATTGAGTTTAGGGGGATCACTAATTCCTCATATTCCGACAGAGTCCTTGGGAAACAGGGTTAGTGAAAAGGTCGAAACGAGCGAGAAAGTTGAACAAGCCGTCAAGGGTGCTTTGCAAAAGGTACTGCCTGAAATTGAATCAAAAGATTTAAGTGCAAAGGAGTCGACATCAGAAAGAAAAAAGATTGATAAAAATGGAACAGCTACACAGAAACTAAAGATTCAACATGTAGAGGTTCAAACAAATATTCGTGCCAAGACTATTAAAAGTTCTGGAATGCTTGATCGTCAAAGACGGGACAGCGAGGAAGATGTAGTAATTACAAACACATTCTGCCCACCCCCTCTTTATTATAATTATTTTTCCAAATCCACACCATCTGACAGATATCATTTTGCGACAGCGGAGGAAGGCACACAGCAAAGTTCTTCAAATGCTCATGGAATGAGATATGGACAATCTCTTGGCCAAGATGAGAATGATGAAGTGGATTTTATGTATTATGATCCTGGTGTGGTTGAAACAGATGGCACTGTAGGATTGGCATCAGTTTCAGTCCAAACTGATGAGAAATTACTTAGGCCTTCCGCAGGACCTGACAGTAACGGAGGTCAAGCTGAATTAATTAATGGCTTGTATAACTTAAGAGGTATAGCATCAGATAGTCATTTGCCAATTTTAAATGCCTTGCTCCAAGAGCTTTCCTGCTTAACAGGGGGACAACAAGTTAGAGACACAACACAAACCAGGTCTTTGAGTGACCAATCTCAGGTCACTCCAAGACATCCACAAACAGTTGGTGATAGAAAACCACCAGTAGTTGGTAACAACTTAAGGAGCATTTCAAAAAGTCGAACAGATAAAAACCAAACTCGTCAAGCTCCTCCTGGTAAGAGGACCCATACCTCAGTGATTGGTTTGCCAAGGCAAAGAGTGCGTTTCAAGCAGACCAGTCTCACATACGGAATGACAAGAACACAGAAAATGAGGCTTGAGATCAACCAGAGGGATAAGTTACCAAACAGAACTAGACCTTGTGAGGTGCAAAGGGCTTTAGCTCAAAAAGAAAATGTCACAAGAGATTTAATACAGACACCTCTGTCAAAGGGTGATTTAGGAATGACATACAAAATAAACACAGCGAGGAAGCCGAAAGGAAGACATATGCGTAAACAGACAGCTGATGTGCAGGTTCAAACACAGCAGTTTGCTCCAGAACAACCCCACCACAAAAATATTGAGTTAGCTGGAACGAGAGAAGTGATGGAAGCAAATATTGCAAAGTCAGATCCCGAAGTAATTCCATCTACTGCTGAAAGTGCCAGAAGCATAAAGAGTCAAAATAGTTTGGAAGTTTTTATTCCACGCGTGGAAGGTATTTAGTTTTACACCTTTTTTTACCAGTGTATAGGACAGTGTTATTAATATTTAAATATTTCATTATATTTTGAATCAGAATTGGAAACTAAAGGTAACAACAATAAATTATGGAACAACAAACTAGAAATGACTATGCTTTAACAAGGGTTCCTGTAAAGAAACATTTCCAGCTGTATCTTTATGTTTGGCTCAGGGAGATGCTTAATTGAACTCTTGATTTATCTGTCTAGTGAGGTATAAATACTGGCGAGCTGGAGTATTTTTTTATGTATTTCGGCCAGGTACCTCTCTCCACTCTGGAGTTAAAATGGGTACTTCATAATAATTTGAATTTCCTCAAACATTTTCCCAAGAAAATTCACTGGTCCATTGAACAAGCGAGGGACAGAATCCACTGGCCCAAATGCTAAATCCACCAGCCCTAGGCTATGGAACATGGCCTTTAAGCACGCTGCCAAGGGATTTCAAGTCCGGTGCATTTGTGGTAGGCCACTATTAGAGACTAAAAAATTCCGAATGTACAAGTAGCATGTTGAAGGAATTTTCAAATTTTGTAATATCTAAGACACTGCAGAAGGAACCAGAGTGCTTTGACATTTTCTTTTGTGTAGTACTTTTTATTGAGCTATCCAATAAACTAACAATGTATTGCTGATACATTGTTTTGATTTCAGGAGAATCAGATGAGAAAAGTGACCAAGAAAAAGAATGGACCACAGACAAGCCCTCTCTTGGCATTTATGGCAATACAGGGATTATAAGCACTGAACTAGATGACATACGAGAAGGATCAGCAATGACGATGTACACTGAGGACTTTGAGGACTCAGGCACGGAAGGATCACAGGCATCATATCATTTAGCTTTCACCGGGAGCAACAGTAGAGACACTGAAAATCTCAAACAAAAATCTAATCCCAGTGACTCCTCTGAAAGTGCACAGTCCCAAGGTAGCTCTAAAGCATCACAAAGACCTGTCAGGTCATCATATTCTCCTGTCAAAGTAAAATCCAGGAGATTAAAGGCAAAGATTCAAGGAGCTGCAAGTGTGGAACAAAAGATCACAACATCTGAACAAGATCTTGAAACATCTGCTGATCGAGTAAGGAGTTCTTCTGGTTCATCCAAAGGTCTAAAGGCAGGAAGTCAAGGGAGTTACTCTGAGGACTTCCATTCTGTTGGCTCTGAACTCCAAAACAGCAATTCTGATGCCACATCAGATGATAGTGTTGATGACATGGATCAGCATGCAATGCTTGATCTGCCGCCTCCAGCAAGTAATTTGGGATACACTTACTAAGTCTTGTTTATATTTGGGTTGGGTAACACAGCACTCAGTGTCTCATTATTCACTGCACAGGGTGAACAGAACATGCATTTGCCTCTAGCTCTCTGATACCTTCAGTGATTACATTGGAAAAGAAAGCAAGTGGTCAATATTATTTTACTTATTGTATCTGTAACAAAATTATCGATTGTGATTGTCAGGTAATCAGTGCGTGATCACGTGGGTGAACTTTTGGTAATTGGATACCCGTATGATTTGTACATCAATTATGCGAGCTTTAATGTTTCCTACAGTTTTTAAAAACTTATGAAAATCGCTACAAACTTTTTCTCCCAAAAGAAGTTCTCAAAAGACTTTTTTGGCCATTGCTGAAGAACTGAGTGTTGATACTGTGAGCTTCATCTTTTCTTTCTTCTTTGGTTGCCACAGATGTCACTGTTTAAAATTCCCAGACTTTTCCCTGACCAAATAACTACAAAATTAATGTAAGATATAGTCTGTAGCAACCTCTAGCCTCCCCTTAGATGCATCCTTTCCACCCATTTATTTGGGACTGATACGTTTTCAACAAATTTGCCATCTATGTTGAGAAAAAATATCACTGAAATCACAGCAACCCCAAATGTTTCTTCCAGCCTTCAATGTTTTTTAAATCAAGTGTTAAAATTTCAGTTTTCCCTGACTTTTCTGCAATATGTCAATTTTCACTGACTCAAAATAAAAGTTTCCCTGACCTTGAAGAACTTTTTTGTACTTTCCCTTACCATTTGCTGACCTGTGGCAACTCTGCTGTATTGACCGATCCACATTCAATACTAAAGGAAGCCCACAAGAATCAAGAATATGAACCAAAAAAGAACATTTCAACAATTAAAAAATACTCTCTGTCGCAACTGTATGGAATGTCTGGGTACATTTATTGAGATTTTGATGTTTTAACAATTTTTTTTTTAAAAACTGACTGGATACAGGAGCAGTTTAATGTTAAGGGGTTTTTTATTCAAAAGGAATTACAGTCCATTTTTACAAATCACTAGATTTAAAAATACTGTTAAAATAAAGTTCAAGTATAACAACTGAAGGTTGTGTTACTGTCTAATAAGTCCCGAAATTCATTACTAAATATTGTTGACCTGAGCATAGCTTCATAAACACATGACACTTTGTACATAGTTTTGAAATACACCTTCTGGCTCAATGTTCTAATACATGTAACACCGAGTATCATGCAACCCTGGAGAATCGGTCATTTATCCAAAATGATGCCATTGTGTCTAATAGAAGAAAAGGATTTAATCAGAAACTACTTTAGAGAGAAACGTCACATGGCATGAAATACGACAACAACATCCAGTGATGCTAAAAATGTTTATTACAGAGATAATAAACGAAAGTAAATTTACATCGGGTTAATTTAAATTAAAATGCTATTCATTGCCTAGTCCAAAATGGATTTAAATTTATTACTCATTATTTAGCAAGTAAACCAATGTCTCTCCTCCCGTGGTTAATTCTCCCTCTATTTAAAAGAAGTCATTGAAAATTCCATAACAGTTGGAACTAGGTAAAGAATCTGATACCAACTAATGCCTCAGCCAACATGTCAGCTGACAGTTGGCAACCAACTGAAAGCCAGCAGGACCATGACTGACAGTTGGCCTGCACGTTGGCCAAAACCTGTGAAGTACAAAAATTTAACAACAAACCATTTGATTGAGCATGCAAAAAGAGGCATTAGTTTACTCATACTGCACTCACGAAGTTGCATTTTAGTTACTGCACACATTAGCAAAGGTTTGCTAAATGGACAGTCCTTTGTCAACTCAAAACTATTGGAGTTGAAGATCCCCTTTCCTTTGTATGTGATTTGTCGAGCAAGTCATGAACATACTTTGCAAAATCAACAGGAAAGGTTGGCGCACCTTCATAGCCTAAGAAATAAACCAAAGATTCAAGCATGAGTAATGAAAATGCATATACATATATACATATACTGCAGGATAACACGTCAGTGCTCAACAGCAGTATTAAATGCACAAATTGACAAGCAGAGAGGCTTCTTTCTATTTCATTTTTTTTATTTTGAAAAGCAGAAAGGTGATGAGCATAAAAAAAATCATCAACTCAAGGATAACTATAGCTGTACAGTGTGTGACGATGATGATGATGATGATGAAGGTGTGTATGGCAAACTGTCAAGTACTCAGAGATGTAGCTAAGAAAACACCACGCTGGCTCATTAACGAGCCCAACTAGCTTTTCTGGCCTTGACAGCTCCAAAGTTTACCCAAGTATTGGTTTTTGTGTGAAATTTCAGCCAGATTTTAGTTCCCTTTCAGCCTGTGAAATTATCTGGCAGCTGGCCCTTGGCGACACCCCCATTACTGTGGAACATATTTTCAGGCTGGTAAGGTAATGAAATTAAAACGAAAAAAAAATTTTTTTACTACCAAGCACAAACTTACCAGGGAAATAATTGATGTCTACTACAACATGATGCCCTGTTCCTTTCTCCACAACAACATCAATACCAAACATTGTCAAATTCTGGTTGGAGGAAATACAATGTAGAAAGATTTTGGTCATAAAGGTAAGTCCACTAAGTAATATCTAAAGAATCAGAGAAGCCAGGAAGCTCGTGAATCTGAGCCGCAATTTAACTCCAGTTTCTGAAGCACAATGTAATTAAGGGTATTACTGTGCAAAGTGTATTTCCCCTGAATGAAATGCTAGTTCATTGCCCTTAACCCCCAACAACTTCACAATCTGCCAGTAACCTTTGCATGCATGCACTTACAGTTGTAAAGTTACAAGGCTTTATGTGGTACATCTTGCCCCTTTTGTCCAATTTTAATTCACTCTGTTTGTGCATATCGAATGCACAAACTCACAACCAAAACATCTGTGTTCACCTTTACTATTTGACACTACAAAGAGGTAAATCTTTTTTACCCATCTTAACCCCACTGGTGAGAGAGACATAGTGAAACGTAAGTGTCTTGCCCAAAACACAACCCCACAAAACCATGCCAGGGTTAGAGCTTGAACCCCTTGATTCTATATATCAATTTCTACAAGAAGCATACAGACATATTCAAAAAATTTGCCATAGTCAATGAAATAAAATACTTACCAGCTTTGGTTGAAGCTTCCTAACGAGCTTCAAAACTAGGTTTACATCCAGCGCTATACCACTGTCATTATCATCATCTTCATCCAGCTGCAATAAAAAACAAAGCTTACAAACACCAAAACAAACCTTAATAGCTATAATCACTCACAGTAGACATAATTTATATGGCTAACAGCACAACAGTGAATTGTGGCCACCAATTAGGCGGCCAGTAATCAAAGCCCCAATGAGGGCTTTACTATTGTTTTTACCTCTATTAAGCAGCCAGCCCCCTTTAAGGTGGCCGAACACAGTTTTCGCGCGCGCTTTTGCTGATGCAATTGAGCGCGCGCACAAGGATTACAAAGAGCGATCATTTTATTTACTCAACACCCGCACTATCTGTGCTATTTTTTCTCTATTATTGAACGCAGTGTATCGATGGCTTTAGTCTTTTATTACAAAGATATGTTAGAAAAGGTAACGACGCAAAGAAACCAGCAATTCTCAGCTTTCTCTTTGTTACCGAAAGAACCCAGNGAAAAAAATCTAACGACTGGATTTTTTTTAAATAAACAAAAACCATTTTTTAAGCCTTGTTTTTAACCAGCCCCGTTGCCTTGGCAACAGCACACACCTTAGCCAAAATGTGAGAATAAACTTTTCTGTGGTTAACCTTGACTCTTGCAAAAAACGAGCGCCAAAGCATAAATAGCTTAAAAGTAATGGTGAATTAGGCATAGGCTCTTGAAAACTGTGTTCGGCCACCTTAAGCGGCCACTATCTACTTCCCAGAGGGTAGCTGTTTAATAGCGGTTGAACTGTAAAATATAAAATTTCTTTTTTGGTCTTTTAAAATTCATCATGAACTACATTATTTTAGTTTAACCAAAATACATAACTTGACAATGTGATGACGACATTTACTACTGATCAGTAAGTGGACAAATGCATCATTCAAGCCTGGACATCATACAAGATAGCCAAAAAGAATGCTACTAAAGAACAAGAACAAGATTTCTCACCTCACTAAGATAGGAACCAGCGTCAGGTTTAGAAACATCATGTGATGAAAAGAATATTGTTTTCATATCTTTGGCTACTATGAAAAAAGCAACAGTAAAAATGTTACATCCATATGACATTGTATGACCAAGAACTATTGCAGTTCACTTCATTATTCTTAAAGCTGTGTATAATTCAAATATATACATACTGAAAAAACTCACCGGCTGTCTTGTAAAAGTTCTTTATCGATGGTCTTTCAACGATATAATGGTTGTTTCCTGCTACAAATACCTGTCAATGAAAGATATCTGTTAATTAGAATGAGAATTAAATTTGAAGGGTTCAAACAGTCTACTACACTGACGTACGTCCAACCATGTGAGAAAAAAAATGTGTGATCTTTAAATTTCATACCTTAAATAACAAGGCATCATGATTGACAAACTGTTGAACAACACATGGAGGGCTCACATTCCTGAGACCTTCTTTATTAAAGATCAGTGCCATCTAAAATGTACGGTATTTAATAGACAAATCAATCAACAAGTTATACACATACTACAAGTCAAGGTAAGAGAGGTTCCTGTGAAGTGTGTGCAGAAACTTAATCACTAAATAGAACACTCAATCTCATACAACATTACTTTCACTTTATAGAAGTGATGCCTAGTCAACAATACAGTTCACAACAAACTAAAAACTTGATTCTCCTTTTGTACAAGTTGTAAGTAACTGTTATATCTATCACACAAAATCAAATTTAAAAATTGAATTATTTAATCAGAGAAAAAAACAATCATTTCATATGTCACTCGGGGTGAATTAAGCATTTAGAGAGACATTCGAAAGAAAATCGACAAGCAATTTCAGTTTTTACTGGACAGAATAATTTTAAGTATTTTACAGTCCTTTAATTTATATTTTCTGAAAGCTAAAGATATAAATAGTTGTCTGAAATAACACCAAAACCAATTTCCTATNAGGCTTTTGATTTCAAATGTCAGTGAAGGTTTCATATGCTCACAATGGTAAATAAGGTTACTGATATCACGGATACAAATGAGACAGCCTCCTGGAATAACAGGAATTGAGAAAAAAATCGTCAAACAAATTTCGACGACAAACGGAAACTGCGTTTTTATCTAGAAAGTGCAATGCAATAATATTTTGAAGTATTCCGTCATGTTTATCGGCAACTCGACGAATATATTTAAGTCATTTTTATACAACAATTCCAAGGATTAGAGATTACAACTTGCTCCTAATTTTAAGCGTGATTTAGCGAGACAAACGTTACTTATTCCAACGTTATTATGGTGCCGGTTTCACTGAGAGTAATAGAAGCAACGTCTGCCTAATTTACAAAACTGATAACCCACGTCTTCAACAAACTTCAACTTACCTCTACCAAATCAATTCCAGTCTTCCTATAAAAGTGAGTAGAACAGGTTAACATATATCAGTATTTATAGAAGCACAAAACAACTGCAATGCTATTAATTCATTTTAAAAAGCAAGCTAAATTACAAGTGTTTTGGCAACGTACCCACACAACTGCATAAACGTGTCAAAAATACTCTTGCGCTTTTTCCTATGGCTGACTAAGAAGCCAACTCGCTTTCGCTTTGAAAGCTCGTTGCTACCCCTAAACATTGTTAATGAATTTTCCACTTATCCACTTAAGTAGCAATCTTCCAAATTATCCTGAAGAATATCATTTTGCAGGAATTGTGTGTTTTTCACCACGACCCAGAAGTTCAATATCAGACGTAAGAGCCCACTGTAACTCTATTGGCAGCGGCTCAACATATGAAACTATTACCCAAACTCCCCGCAGTATTCAAAATGGCTGCTTCGAGGACGATGCTTCCACGAGCAAAGTTCTTTGGTTGTGTCGCGGTTAGTCAACTTAATTCCTCTCGCCTATCACAGTTATTTGGTGCATCTTTCAAGAAATTCGCTAGTTACGTTGCTTATTCAAAGAATTGTTCAAGTTTTAGCGATACAAGTGCAATAAGTGTAAAAATAAGTTTGGTTCCAAACAAATATGGCGTCAGGAATTTCAGTTTACAAAACTGGCTTAGTGAGTATGCTATTTTGTTATTTATTAGAAAAGTTACAAATAATGCTTGTACTCGTTTTATGGCTTATTTACACAAACGTAGAATTGCTACCAGGATGAGAATTCACTGTCCTGTCTTTGCGCTTTGCACTTGCCAAAAACTTGGTAAAGGCAACTTAAAGGAAAATTTTATCAAACCTTGACAAGTCTGAAGAATGTTACTGGACTAAATGAGATCCTAAAATCCAGGGTAAAAAAATTAAGGGCTGCAGGTTTGTTAGTTGTATTAACTATTAATTATTAAGTGTAAACCCTCTCTAAATAAAGTTTGATTGATTGATTGATTGATTGATTGATTGATTGATTGATTGATTGATTGATTGATTGATTGATTGC